GGCAGGTAACAATATTGACACTGTTCGTTTACCCAGTAACATTAATTATGCATTGTCAACAACAATCACCCTGACCAAATTAACTAATTAAAAACAGAACTTTCTCTTATTAGCTTGACCTACTCCGCCTCAGAACCCTTATTTTCAACACGTATTAATTGATTTATTTTGAGCTCTATACATTGTACATATTTAATTGATTCAACGTATGACCTTGCTGAATGCTGATACATTTTGATGATAACATATCAGGCCAAAGTCTGTAACACTGTGCTCCTGGTGTTTGGAATATTAATTATTCCAATGGTTACTGTTTTCCAAAACTAGCATTGTCTGGCAGTCTGACGACTGTTAAATATTATATGACTTCATTGGAAGTTTAATGTTGCTCATTTTGATGAATGAAATTTACAATTGGAATCATGTCAAAAAAAATGGAATAATAAAAGTTAAAACTGATATGTAAAAACGTCAAAATCCTTTTAGTGGAAAAGTACCCATTTGAAGAAAAAAAAAGAAGCATTACTGTCAAAATCAAAAAGATACAACACACGTGAAGCCTTGTAAAAATATCCTAAAAGTATATTTTTTCCTTTTTAAAAACTCATATGAAACACACATGACAGAGAAGCAGCCCAAACATATGACTCTCAAGGCCGCTAGTGTACAAATTATTCACACTGAAAGAATAATCACCATATTGCAAGTGCCGTATTCAGTAACTATAGGGTCCTCAAAATTCATGCAAATAGATGAACAAGTAACACATTATGTAGTCATGTTGTTCATGAAAACAGCTAACCTGACCTTTACCGAGTGTCTTTTAATTAAAAATAAACACATACATCAAAGGCAGTCAAGCAGATTTAACCCCAGTAAAAAAAATATACTGGTACCAAAGACATACCAGTATATTAGAAAAATATTACCAAGAATAGCAGAGATATTGTGTAATGCACATTGTGTGAATATAATACAAAATATTCTGATAGTATTTAAGGTGAATATGTAAAAAATATAATATGAAACAGACCTTTTGATCATGACTGCATGGATGAACGTCAGCCAGTGGAAGACAGGAGTGTCCAAGTGTGTATGGAGAGCAGAATAGAGCGCAATGTTGGCGAGACGATCAATGCATTGCATTATATGGAGCACTGTGGGAAACCAGTGTGCGTGTACTAGGAGGAGAGGGATGATGTCAATGATGCGGGGTGCATACTAATGAGGGCTGCCCCATTATGCCGTGGGGGTGGACTGTTGTGTGATGAGGGTGAGGGTTTGGTTTTGATGGATGAATATTAATAAGGGTCAGACTGAGGTCAGATCTCTTTATGATGCATGAGTATCGAAACACTGATGTACAAATGTAATAATGCAGGCTTTTAAAACTCCAATAAAACTATGAATATCAGACTGTGTGATTATACACCTGAAATATTGACTGTTGGGATGTTCTACATTCATGACAATGGAGATATTTATTACACTAATATCCTGTCTGATCTTGAAAGCATATCAATCCACTGTGATCAACTTCTTATGAAAGGATCACTCCACTATGTTTATGGTTGACGTTTGCACGACGTCAATTTTTCATTAGACATACTGGTGATGAGTTAAAGGTTTAGCATGTTCAGAACTGATCAAATCAGTCTCCCAATTCATCAGACATTGTAAGGTCTTTTGGCTGGTATAAAAATCTCAACATTTGAGAGTTTGGAAAGAAATTGGGAGTAGATTTGTTAAACTCCAGGTTTACATGTATGTTTGACTACTTTTGTAATTAAATCAATTTTGAATCAAGATATTTATTTTAAAAAAAAAAAACTTTTGAATCAAGATTTTTTTTTTAAAAATCACTTAAACACTTGATAAATTGAAAATTATAATACTTGCACCACCCAACTACCTATCTGAAACTATTTTGTATTAAATATTTACAAACATGTTTAAAGTGTAGGAGTTGAACTTTCACTTCCAAGTTTGTTTCCTGTTCTTGCTGTAACAATCTGGTTAATCATTTCCTGACCGGATTTTTATCCGGTTTGAGCCATAACCTGAACCTAGATTTGGTGAGTGGTCATACCCAAATTTACCCCTCTAAAGACTACATGTACCTGGATTGAAAGAACAGAAAACCAATGCAGTGAATACCACATTACAATGCTGAAATATGTAACTCCTTTTTTCCCTTGTTGAACTAGGAATGCCAATAGGTATCCCTAGGGGTCCACTTAACACAGAGACAAAGTGTGAAATATGACGGCCAATTTGTTGACAGGAATTCAATCTCATCTCAGCTGGAGAGTCTCAAACTCTTCAGGCAGCTCATTCAGCTGAGAAGCAATAAAACTGGGGTTGTAAAGTGTAACTGTGGTTCAGGGGGTGAAAGCCGTCATGTTCAGGAAAAATGACTACTTTAGACGGAACAATTGTTTTGGTTTGGAGAGAAAGTTCTGCATAAAACTGCAGAAAAATTGTGTCAAAAAGCTGAGAAATAGTACAACCTTAAAATATATTAATAGTGTCAGCTATTGAGCAACTGAACTGTGTAAATGTTTAGAATTTAAATTTTTTTTACATATTAAATGCACAAATAGGTATTTAAAGCGTTGTAGACAATGACAGAAAAATGGTTTAAAAACTTTCATCACATAAGTCTGAAAAGTGATTCAGTGATATTTTGACTATGTATTTAGTTTGTTTGTTTTATCATCTGATTACCTTTCCTAATTAGAGCGAAGTTTTACCAAGATACGTCAGACCTTGCTTGTACTATGACAGAAAATAGACTTTATGAAGGAATTTTTAATAAAGAACAATTAAATGTACTTATTACATGTGTTTAGGGTTAATACTCTTGTGTTAGAATTACCAAAAAAGTTAACATCATAGAACTCCTGCATGGAATGAGGTCGGTAAGCAGAGTTCTGCTGAAATGTCAGGGGTGCAGTACATGAAATATTTCACACCTGCAAAATGTCCACTAAATCTAGTTGGCAAGTTAATGACCACTAGTTTAGAAAACCACAAGAGGGACTTGGAAAAGTGAAAAATACAACAAATTCTTTTCCCCAAAGACTCCGTTGGAATGACCACAAAATATTTGTCTCCTGAGCATTAATTCTGCATGCTCAGTAAATACAATTCCAAAATATTGTAACTATTGATAAAGTGAATGTTTTGATTTACGTTTCCCTGCCACAGTGAACAAATATAATGTTGAAGTCTCCTGATCTGGCAAGATAACAAAGTATGAAGTCTGACGTTACAGATTTAAATTCTGTCAAGTTTTTCTCCTTCATTAACTAATGTCCACATGCATGTTTGTGATGTGTAGGCAAGCATTTGTATGTGGTTGAGTTTGCTATGTCAACACACGTCAGAGACGGAGCTATTTTCTGTGTAAATTCCTACTCCTACATATTTGTCTAATGGTTGGTCTAATGTGAATATATACATACATGTACTATAATAGCCACAAGACATAGAGGGGCCCTCGGGGTAGAGTTGATCAGTCTGAAGTTAATTCATCTCGAAATTTTAGTTTTGAATTTAACTGGATGGCTTTCAAAGATTCTTCTCCTAATTTGGCCTAATTTATCCAAACTGCAGACATTTCTCAATGAATACACCTGAAGAATTATTTTTCTTCTGACTCCCCCCCCCCCCACCCCCTCCAAAAACAAAAATCTTTCAGTGTGACTTTTTCCTAATCATCAATATGTAATCTACAAATGGCGCCTTCACCACCAGAAAGTCAAGACATGATTCTTAAAAAAAAAATTTTGGTATTTAAAACAAAAAAATATTTTCTCTCTAAAATGTCTCCCAACGGGAGCCTCATCTCTCGGCCAAATATAAAGGAGTGATACATTAATGCCAGCAGTGACCATCAAATGAACCCAGGATGACAAATGTGATGAACCTAGCCTGATGTACATTTTGTACCAGTCATTTGAGACATATACAAAGTGCTACGCCTGGTTGCAGGCATCAATGACAATAGGTAACCTGGTCAACCAAAGTTGGATAATACAAAGATGTTACGTGCAATTAGAGATTTGGGTAGAAGGGACGGGTTAAGAACTGTTACGTCTCAAAAAGGACGGATGTCTATCATGTCTCAGGCACTTATACTAGTTTTTCTTAATCTTAAACAGAATCTGACATATGTATGCACTAAGTTAAATAGAATTTACATCTATCATACACTGTGTATGTTGAACATGTACACATGCACGTGCATGTAATATATATAATCATATTTGTCTTAATCAAATGCAAATACGTCTCCACCCAGTCAGCCAGATTGCTTGCAATGCAAACTATGCAGACATGTTGACCTTCAAATACCAACCAGTGAATGACCAAGAATAAATGCAGTCATGTCCAATGTATTCCTGTATTCATCTTCATTACTCAAATCAGTAAAATGTACTCAATGACAACCCAATGACTGCAGCACTTAAAGACAATGTGCCTGTCATAATGACAGGCAGTTGACGGTCAATCACCTGGGCAACCCAAACATTTAGGCATCTTTTGCATGTTATTTGCCCACATTACACAATTTATGTCACCACTTTCACACCAATCACATTTCAACAGATACAATGCAGAGCAGAAGAGAACAGTTTGCTGAAATTTGGCATCACGTGACCACAACATCCAAATTGTAAACAAATGTCACATGGTCTATAGTCCGCTCATCGTGAATTTGTTGTTTCCTTTGAATCGGTAAAAATGTAAAGACATTAGTAATGTATACGGCTGATCAGTTTAGCATCATTAGTGCATTCCACTCAGAGCGCAGGGTCCGGTTCCGAAAGACACAATATTTAGTTATAATCCCTTGTCTGGTTCTAGAATATATCACAATGACCCTACAGCTTTTAATCAGGGAATTTCCCTACTCTTACACGACCCACTTCACAATTTCACACCAAATTTTCCACTGTCTCATTATCACAACTATAAAAACACCAAGAACTCACCTCTATAAAGAATGAATTTCTTCTCGCATTCCCAAGACAGTTGATAGATCCTGATCCATCTTCCAAGGCAAAAGAATTATCAAGTCACTGTCACAGCCCTTGGAAATACCTCCAGTGGCCAGGGGTAATAATGATGTCACTGATGACAGCTTGATGCTTGAGCAGGTCCAAGTCTACTGGACTGATGGGAGATGGAATTGACTTTGTCACCTCATGGATGCTGGATGTTGACTGCAGGGAGAAGTGCCTCTTGCATTCCTGGGGTGTTGGGAGGATTGGGTATGCGGGCTGGGATGTTGTAAGGTTGATGTTGCACTGTTGGAGAGGAGAGGCATGGTTTAGGGGGAAAGGAATGATAAGAGGTGGATGGTGGAAGGGATGGTGGGGAATGAGGGGCAAATGGTTTGGAAAATGGAGGTGACAAGTGGATAGATGATGGAGTGATAGATGGAAAAGGAATGGTTAAGAAAGGGGAAGGGGGTGATGAGATGGTGAATGAATCAGTTGTTAATAGATATGAGGGAAGGCAGGAGAGAAGATTCAGAGACGGAGGAAAAGAAAAAAATGGGTGACAAAAATGACCAATTCAATCACAAAACCTGAATATGTCACTCATCACCAGGTCTGAACAGAAGTTGCTTCCAGATGTGAAACACATTAAAGAGAAATAAAATCCGTTTCATTGCTCTAGCTTGAAGTTGACAAATTCTTGAACTTTGCCTTCGATGACCCATATTATTGCTTTGGTACTCATTGGAATGTTTCATAAACAGTCTGATTTTTTAGGTAATGAAAAAGAAAAAAATTTGTCCATTGAGGAAGAAAATGCAAATCCAACTATTTGGTACATTAATTAATATGTAAGTGCGTCGCCTGCAAGAAATCATCTATCCAAGGTCTAAGCACAAGAATTTGTCAAAAGCACAAGTCGGGCAGAATAAACAATTATTCTCCCATCACAATTGTGATGTAAGCCTTATTGTTAATCTGTATCCATAATGACAGTACTGTTGTGACAGGTAATTCATACATAAAAAGCTAGGTGCTTGACTGAGTGCTCTTCAGCTACATTACACAGTCACAATAGGCCATCTGGCAACACGGATCACAGGAATCGCTGTCAAAAGGTGCAGACCGAATGCATGTTGATGTCTTTATCATTATTACTAATACAGACTGACGTGAATAGTGAAAATAACCTTTCTCTGGAAGAAGCATGTGACGAGGTTAACAATTGCTCAATGGAAGTTCAGGGAGAAGTTTAATCAAACTATTTTCTTTTTTTAATGGAGTGATTTTCTAATCAACCGTCTTGCATTTGCTCATTCATTCCCTTCTAACAAAAACCTTAATACATTCTGCTCATACTGTCTATGTTTTAAAGATCTGTAAACTAATTTACAGACAGGTTTTACTCAACCGAAAGCTCTCTTCTGATTAGTGGACTTATAGAAATTTATGGGTCTCTTAATTTTGAAACAAAGATGTGATGATCTTCTATTGGGATGAGAGGGAGTCACATAAACCTTTTTTTTTTTTTTAATATGAAGTACGTGAGGATATTTCCCCACCCCACTGCCACCCCAAAACATGTCATTGGTGGTTTACAGGGCTGGAATATACAAGCAACACAACTACTCAATCAGCCTTAAATATTTTCTGCTAGCTAGCGCACACTGAGAAAAGAACCAAGGTTATGCTTACCAGGTTGAGACCCCTTCTTGACTTCATCAATTGCCTCAAGCATGCAGTAAGGAATAAATGCCACTTGGAATGGTTAAGTCAAAAGTTCAACCACAGCTGAAAATCTGTTCTCATTCATATCATATTCCCCAATGATACATCTGTCATAGGCCATCCAGCAAACCTAGACACAAAGTTACAATAAAAACTGCATGATTACACATTCAATTTACTAAAATTGGGCAGTTCTTGCCATAGATGTTTTATGGAGTTAATCAAAACGGCCAATGCAGTCTGTTCCTTGCTCTATGGTTTTACAAATTCGAATATTTGGTCTGCAAATCCTTATTAAAACAAATATTACTCAAGAGTACAAGAATGCATTATACTCACACAATACACCAATGATGCCGAGCATTGGTCTAGACCAGCCCGCTTGTTGTAATCCATGTACTTGACTCAAAGGCCATTCACAACACTGATATAATACCTGACCACAATGTGGTCATATTTGCTGGAGTTATTATCGTTATGTCTGATCTGTTCACTCCACACAGACAGCTGGTTGCAAGGAACATGTGTGGTGTTGCAGAGATGCAGTGTTTGTTTAATAGTGGCCACTCAGATTTAAAGCTATGTTTGCAGAGCTAACTAGGTTTTTGTCCCAGTTTGAAATTTTCAAAAGCTTCGGCAAAATTTATTTTGTCATATTTGTACTTCTGCCAAAAGTCATTAAAAAGTTCTCGTTCTAGTAATAAAGTACTTATTAAAAAGTGCCCATTCAGTACACAGTAGATACTGATAAGTGATAATTAAGTAATAATTTATTACAAGAGTTACGTGGAATTTTACTAGCAAATTAACTTTTGATTGTATCTACTTAAAGAGTGTGACAATAATCAGAATACTTGTTGAATACAAGTATACTATAGTACTAATAAACATGATTTTGACATTTCAGTTATTTGAAATAAATCTTAATGGAGTTTTGTTTTTCGATTTTGTATGGAATGGCTGTTAAAAAATTCAGAACAGCTACAAAAATTGCGAAATATTACTTGATGGCCTACACAACAAGAAATATTGTGGATTAGTCACTATGTCAATACATGGTCTGACCTGTGTATGTTTACTTGCCATCTACATTGTATGTCTGTGTAGAACCATTTCATATATTCATGTTTCCTGTGTGTACCATTGCAATCAAATATCAGGTTAATCACTTGCACGAATGTTGACATCGTGGCCTGAACGGCTTGAACTGCAACTAGGAAACCTAGAGCTATTTCCTTTTGATAAGATAACTTACACACACGGAGATCCTGAGTAACAGGAAAAATAACAAGTCCACAAACAAACCTGAATAATTTATTGTCCTTGTGTGATAATAGGAACAAATTATAATGTGGGCCAGGTTGATTGTACTAATAAACCACTTCAATAAAATTGTGACAATTTAGACACCTTTAATGATAGATCTCGCAAACTGTATTGGACGCAGCATACCACATCATCTCCCTCAAAAACACGGTACATTGAAATTCCAGAGATCGATGTTTCTTCCGAAACCAAAACTGTCAACATTTTTGAGAATTTATAGTTAAAGGTCACACATGCTGCTCATATGCTAATTCAGTATGCATCGATCAATTGGCAGGTTTTGGTTTTGAGGAAATGAAAATGTCACAAAATTTTCTGTAATAAACTGAATGTAAAAACATCAAGACATCAAAAAACAACAAAAAACTGACTAATAAAAAAGCTGCTTTGATATAACAGGGAGTGGAAATCAACTCACCTCATCAGCTGAAGACGTGAAATGAGTTTCTGTATCACTCAAGCAGGCTGCCCATCAGGCAGAAAGTGAAAGATTTCTGAAGTTCATGCGACTGTGAAGCATGTGGTTCTCTTTGCCAACTCAGCAGCACTCTGTTCAGCTTATAACAAGCTGCTGGATACAATCCTTGAATGGTGTTTGGTCCTGGGTAACCTTGGAGCTGGATAACCTTGAAAGATACCCTGGTGACTGAACTAGTGCAGGGGCGGTCTGATGCCCACCGGATGATCAGCTGATGACCAGGAAACTCAACCTCAGCTGCCGGATAGGAGGTGAATAAATAAATAGGAAACCTTTAACAGGATTTATCTAAAAATCATTACTGAGAAGAATTTAGCCTGATCAGTAGACCAGTGACCAGCTAGACTAACATTATCAACACCGCCAACAAAACGGGACAAAATGAGAGAAGAAAAATCAACAGAAAAGCAATGACTAACCCAAATGCAACACCTCAAGTACCTCACCACCACTGACGCTTTGGCTTCTAAAATACAATTTTCCAGCAAAATATTGTTTGAGATCAATACCGAAGCCCCTTTGTATACAACATGCAAAGCAAACAAAACATAGAAAACACCCCTGCCACCCCTTAGTGAACAAATAATAAGCAATGTTTTTTTCCCACAGACTTTACTCCTAAACCAGGAAAAAAAACCTTCAACAAATGTAATCCCATTACAACAAAACGGTGACCTTTTCATTGGAACAGCCATAACATTTCAGGATATTTTATGAGCAAGCATTAAAATAAACAACACCTTTTCAAGGTGAGAAGGATTTCTTGAAGTGTTTGGGTTTGGAGTGAAACTCGCTTCAATTTAGTTCCTTTGACTTTCAACTAAGCAAGATGTACTTTCCCAGAACTATTGTATTCCAAGTTTTTCATGTTTTCTAATCCTCTTATCCAAATAGTGATCCACGCTGTTTACATCAGCAAACTATTACCTGAACTGCCGAGGGGCCTTTATTTTTCTTCAAAATGCCCCCTTTCAGAAATTTTTGTAAGGAGACTTTTGGCTGCGGGGTTTTTATTTGTTGGCAAACATGAAATGATTTGTCTGGAAAACATCCGGGCTGAAGTTTGCTGGGTAAATACAATAAATATGGCTTTGGTAATACTTGTACAGAAATCCTTTGTGAACGTTTGACACACATTTTTCTGAGTGTTGGCAAACTTTTTCAGGGCATGTATAAGCTTTGATTTTTTTTTAAATCTAAAAGTTCCTCTGTCTACTTCAACTTGAGCAAGGTACAATGTAACAGAATTGGCACCTTGCCATACAAACTTTTAGGTTTGACCTCAATAATTACTTTTCAATACAAAAATCTGAGAGAAACTGAAAAGAAGTGAGCTACAAAATTTTAAAAAGAAACACAAGCAAAAAAAACCCCAAAAGAACAAAACACTTACCATTCAGAAGCTTAGATATTTTCTTACTGATGTACCTTCTTCGTATAAAACATAAACTTGTAAGATATAGTTAACTTGTTGCAAACTTCATAGTTTCAAGCGGTACAAAAAATTGACAATATTCAGAACTACCTCATAATACAATTTAGCACAGGCAGGGTAATAATTTCTCATAAACTACACCATACATTTAACAACATTTGTTCAATATATTTTTATTTCAGTTCCTTTTCTAACAAATCAAGAATGGTCCTAACATACCCTGTGTAGCCATGCTTTGTTCAATTTGTTGATGAATATGACTTGAATTACTAATGGAAATCATTAATGCTAAGGCACTTCATTTCTAAGCTTATAATTATGGTGAACAAAACCGTGGACCCAAAAGTGATATGTGGTAAACTTTCAAGGTCATTTTAAAGATGTACTGTCTGTGCGCTTCAAGTTCAACAAATTCAATTTTCGATTGCAGTTCAACAAACAAAATTTTAGACGGAAACAAATATGGGCAATACATCTTTAAGCTTGTTTGAATGTCTTGCATCAGAAAATTAAGATTGAAATGTTTGTTCATCATCACATTTGGCGCTTGAAGTGAAATCCATGTTATACTAACAGTCAAAAATTGAAAGAAAATGAAACCAACGAAGATTAGAAATGGACTCATGGGTCTTTCTATACATTTGGGGTCCACTTGTTTTCCTGTCCCTGTTACATCTGACATCTATGATTTTATAATTCTGATGCACTCCTTAATGCAGTCGTCCTCCAAGAGTGATTATGAATAGCAAACTACCTACCCAACAAATATATAATGGTTTGAAGTCATTTTTAATGATACTTGAATGGCAAATTACAAAGATCCAAGGTAACAGGGACAGGGAAAAAAATCACATTTTGGACCCTAAATTTATAGAATGACCCTTACACACATTTGTACATGTATCAAAAAAATACAGTGAACTTGTTTCACAAATAAAAAAGTTAGTCCAGCAAAAGTTTCATTTCGAGAATTATTTAAAGTATAAAATATGTAAAAAAACACACATATATATTTCAATCAAACAGGCCAATAAATATATATTCCATTGAAACAAAAATTGTAATGCCAACGCGATCAATTCAAAGCGCTATTTTGGTAAGTTTAAACTATGACAAAAGTGTAAAAGAAATATGAATACAAATACTAAAATATCAAAACTAACGCTTGAATACTAACCGGTAAATGCATTTTTTCCCCAAAAATATTTACAAAATGCAGCCTTTTTAGACCTCTGTATTGTTAAAAACTTAATATTTAGTGAAATAAAAGAGCACACACAGTTTTGATAATATAAGGCAGTTGTAGCTACTAATACTAGGCATTGTTTATTTACAATTTAACAAAGTTGTAGAAATGTTATATTATCTATTCTAATAAGGCCCACCTTGTGAAAATTGATCATTAGAAATTGAAGTATATAATGCGATAAATGTCTTCAAAACATACATGGCAGCTCAAAATTGCTTGTGCATTGTTATTGTTTATCAACCATTTTTTGTGTCTAATGTTACCCTCTGCAAATTAGGTACTAATAATATGTATTTAGAAAGCGTACATATCCACCAGTATTGGTGCTTGAGGCCCAACATCATTATTACCCTGCTCATTGGGCCAATGAAACATTCCAAAGACAATCTCAGCTCCCTGGGATGTATACAGCTCGATGCTGCCATTTCGGCACAAAAACAGTTCTAATCAACCACAATAACCGTCTCTGCCCTGACAGGTACCCATTTACTCCTGGGTGGAGACAAGCAATGAGTGACAAAGTGCCTTGCCCAAGGGCACACGCACCATGACCCCAGGCTGGACTCGAACCCACAACCTGCAGAATTGCCCGCACACCACAAATTCAATGCTCCAGACCACGAGGCCACGGCACTCCACAGCATGCTTAGACCATGAAATGCGAATAAGGTTAGCAATTTTTTTTGCGAACCATGGAGCAGCACCACAAAATCGACTCAAGGGCCCGATTACAGGGAGGTGCTTAGAAGAGAAATCACTTGAAACAATTCATGTGCTAGCTGCTTTAGTTTACTTGAGATATTCCGGTGTGGAGTTTCCACTTCCAAGCGATGATGTCCTGCTACTGCGTACACTACTGACATGACTACCAGTGCCTGTGATGCTACCTGCAGCGTTGTTACCATTCAGGTTGTAATGTTGACCTAAGGTCATCGTTGCTCTGACGTTGTGAGTCCTGCTGGCTGCTAGACTGGCATCGGGTCTGTCTAAGTCAAAGTGGACTGAATCTGATAACCTAGAGCAGTGAATAAATGCACAGGAGTTTAGAGTCAGTCCACAAATTCTTGACACATTCTTTTATGCCTTTTATCTCCAAGAGTGATAAATTAAACAAAGTACCTACCAAATAAAAAAAATAGTTTGAAGTCAATTTAAATTATAGTTGTATGGCAAATTACATGGGTCAGGCGTAACAGGGACACGCACTGGTCACACTTTTGGACCCTACATTTATGGACTAACGCTTTATTTAAACAAACCATTCGAATTCCATATGGAGCTCACTAAAACCATTCTGTAATTGTAATTACATTTCTATGCTATTAGCACTAGCACATACAGAAGTTCTGATCAAGTCGACAAACTGTTTACGCACGGAATTCCTAATTAAGGGATTTTCTCATATGCACATGTATATATTCCTTCTCGACCCATGTAATACAAGTACTATGCTATGAAGTTTGGCTCAAATTTGTTAAACAGAGAAGGCGCATCATTCAATCAATTATCCACCCACCTGTTGGACCGGCTAGCCTCTAGCTTCATCTTCTCTAGTTCATTCTGTAGATGTTTCCTGTCATGTAGCAGTCGCTTCTCCCTGGCTAACTGCTCAGACAGCTGTCAAAAAAAAGAGTACATACAGTCACTAATTCCAAATTCAAGCGATTTGCAAAACAGAATAGCTGATGTTTGAGGCACAAATTCTGCATCACAGACAAAAGGTTGACATTTGTTCTTCGACAAGTACCGGGTGGTTTGTCATTTTTCATCAGATGAGAGGGACTTGGCTGTGTATACTTTCAGGTTTTGTTTTGTTTTTTAAAAATGACAGCTTCCGTATTGTTTCTGACAAGAAGTTGAGTAGAGTACCTTTTTGGTGGCAGTGGCAGCCCTGAGTTCAGTATCGGCAAGTTTGCGGTTGAGTTTGCGAATCATGTCTGCTTCCTCGGATTGTTTACGCTCACTCTAGAAAAATGAACAAAACCAAACAGAAACAATCAAGTGAAAAATATAACGCATACAAAACCATCCACATAATTTGAAAAAAAATGCAAAGCTGAAATAAAGTTGTCTGCTTGTCTGTTTATGTACCCTGTATATGGTCTGTAAAAGGACCAATAACTTGGGTTTTGTGTCTAATATTTATATATATTGATGAAATAAAGATTTTAATATAATTGTGAAACAATTAAAATTGAAAAACTTCAACCAACCTCGCCCACCAACCTCAAAAGATAAGACGTGAGAACTTACCTCCAGAAACATTTCTCTCTGTTGACTGAGCTGTGACGTCAGTTCTTCAGATCGCTGCTTGTGCATTGCTATTTCTGATCTGTCATTAAAAAAAAAAAAAAAGCCAAGGTCAGCCTGCAAATGTGTAAAAAGAGAAAAGTCAATATATACAGGGCTTGGGCATGCAGGGTATCTAGCCTGAGCAATGGTTAGTTCTACAAACACAAGAGGGTCATGTCACTTGGAAAAGATTGTTTCACTTACCTGAGATCACTGACTTTGGATTCAAACTTCTGGGCAAGTGTTTTGGACTCCTCTCTCCATCTTCAGTGAAAAGAGAAATTCAAAAATAACAAAAGGAAGATGTGTGTTCAACATTTCAAATAAAGAGGTAGAGTGAAAAGAGTGGTATACTTGGAGGTGAGAAAATGTAATGAATTGCACCCAAAGCAAAGCCTTACAGTGTGCAATTATAGTGCAAACAATGCACAAGGTGGTGTGCTGGTGACATAACTGATACCACAGTCATCGGTATAATTTGACAAATGACCATTCCAATATCCAGACCGATATTCAATGCTTGATATAAACCTTGGAGTTGTGGAGCTTACTTTGCACTCATTCTCTGTTGAGCAGTCAGCATATCTCTGACTTCCTTCATAGCTTGACGGTTACCCAGCTCAGTGCTGTCCAGTCTGGCGTCATACTCCACTCGTAACTGACTCATTTCTTGCTGAACAGTTGCCATCTACGCGTCACAAAAAGATCAGGCGAAATCGAAATGATCTTACAACTGTGATTTTCGTTTTGCTTGTTTGGGTACGAATCAATGCAATTTAGGAAATATCTTTAAGCCTGGGAATGCTTGGAACGTTGCAATGCAATTGTTGCCTGGTTTCAATGAAGAACAAGTGTGGATTTGAACCAGACAGCTGAGCATGGCAAGCTCGGTGGTCAAGTGGTTAAGGCATCTGCACTTGTCGGAAGAAGGTTGTGGGTTCGAGTCCCATCAAAGCAAACTTTTCATTTTTTCCTCCTTCCAAGTCCTCCGACAACACTTATTATGCATTGCTCATCAACAAAATAAATACATAACATAAAAGTTATGCTGAAGAAGGAGGGGGGGGGGGGCGGGGATGCTATTTTCAATATTCTTACCTGTGAGAGAGATTTCCTCTCAGTTGCTGCCCGTTCCTTCTGAGCAGCAAGAAGTCGTTTCTTGTAATCATCCACAACCTCAGTCAGCTTCAGACGCTCCTCAGACACTGTCTCACATTCCTTGCCGACTTTGTCCAGTCGCTGTTTCAGTTGCTCGTTGATCAGAAGGCTCTGGGATTTCTCCTCTTCTTGGCTGTGGAATTGGAAGAGCTGGTGAGTTAGTAATGGGGCGGTGTTCTATTTTCAGAGGGGTTAAGATCACAGAATCTTGACATGATTGTGTTGCATTTATTTTCCGTTCACTGCTAAGGTATCTCCACCCACTTTCTTCACAGGAATCACAGTGGTTGATTTGATCCAATTTGACTTGATTGATTTGATGACATTTGATTTGATTTCTCACCTACTCTCCATTCTCTGCGTAGCTTTCTCTAGTTTCTGCAGGGTTCAACTTTTTTTGTTCACTAGCCAGCCGGGCTACTGAAACGGACTCTTAACTAGCCCGCGGGCATTTTCACTAGCCCGCATGTTTTTCTTTTATAGAGTGTCTCATAAACAGCAATGTGCATACATGTAAAACGTGTATCCTGAGGCAATCTTGTCAGTGTTTTCAGGTCCAATAATTTAACCCTAAACAGTTAACAAAATCAGACACAACTTGATACAGGTTTGCTTTCTGATTTTAATGATTATTTCTTCCTGTCCTTTCATCTTTGCCGTAGCCAAATCATTTTTGACTCGCCAGCCGAGCTACTTAAGGAATAGTTTGATCAGCCCGCCACTGTTTTGAGTAGTATTTGGCGAGCGGGCTACCGCTAAAGTCGAACCCTGAGTTTCTGCACCTGTATCACTGTGACTGACTAGATTAGATTAGATTAGATTTGATTGACTGGGCGTTTCTCACCTGTTTTCCATTCTCTGCATAGCTTTCTCTAGTTTCTGCACCTGCACCATAGCCTGAGATCTCATTCTCTCAGCTATATTCACCCTGCCTTGCAGCTCTTGATACAGATGATCATCAGGTCCCTTAGCACCCTCTCTGTACACCTGTCAGAAGTAGAAGGTAAATAAGCTCATTGACAAATACCCCATGTTTGCTTTACTTCATAGCAATAATTAGCTGTAGTCTGGAAGTGGGTGAGATGTTCTGTTAATCTGTGGAGGCGTAATAAAGATGCGTTGCTATTAATGATCTGGTGATTAATTGTGTCTTACTAAAAAAAAAGAGTAAAAGTCAAAAAAATTAAAGTGGCCTATTATGTGACAGAGCCAACTTGAAGGTAAGCTTTCTGCACCGATTTGTAGCATTCATGCATGAACCAGCCCTCAGAGGAAGAAAGGAGATGGACAGATGATTGGATGGATGGCTGAAGATAAATCAAAATGACGATGAATCGACTTACTGTTTCCAATTCTTGTTCCACTGCTCTCTTCTCCCTCATGGCTCTCTCAATCTCAGCTTGCTTCTCAGCATTCTCCTGAAAAACCAAGACAGCGATAAAACTCAGACAGGCCTGAATTCAGGTACACTGTGTATGTCTATGTGTGAGATTTAATAACTGTTGACTGCTGTGATGTGGGACATGACGTTTTTAACACCTGAGGGGCGCTTCGCCTTGGATGCTATGCGCCCTGATGGGGTTAAAAACATCATATCCCACATCACAGCAGTCAAAAATTGATTTGTTACATCATGCCAATAAGTCAAAAAGATAAATAGTTGTAACTTACTTTGCAAGAAATAAATAAAATTAGTGCAGTGTAATCACAGGCCATCATAAGTCCTCTTCAGTCAACCACAAGTCCATCACACATCATCAAGTCCAAAGTCAAGTCACAATCAAGTGAACTGTGACAACAGCATTCCTTGTTATTGTCCTTCCCTGCTACTTGTGACTTGACTTGTAATCATACTTGTGATGAACTTGTGATGGACTTGTGATGGACTAGTGATGGACTTGTGATGGACTTGTGATGGACTAGTGATGGACTTGTGATGGACTTGTGAGGGACTTGTGATGGACTTGTGATGGACTAGTGATGGACTTGTGATGGGCTTGTGATGGACTTGTGATGGACTTGTGATGGACTTGTGATGGGCTTGTGATGGACTTGTGATGGGCTTGTGATGGACTTGTGATGGGCTTGTGATGGACTTGTGATGGACTTGTGATGGACTTGTGATGGACTTGTGATGGACTAGTGATGGACTTGTGATGGACTTGTGATGGACTTGTGATGGACTTGTGATGGACTAGTGATGGACTTGTGATGGACTTGTGATGGACTTGTGATGGACTTGTGATGGACTTGTGATGGACTTGTGATGGACTTGACAGCCACACTGCAAATAATTAACTTACCATTTCCAGGCTTTGTATTTCCTCCATGAGTTTCCCAATATTAGTGTTGCATTGTTTCCTGACGTTGTCCACCTCTTGTCTGGTTCTCTTGCCGGCCTCATTGATCAGTTTGGAGAGAGCTTCCTGGAGCCTGCCTAATTCTTGAGTCTTCTGCTGCTCTCGAACCAAGGCCTGGAGGAAATAAAAGTAGGGTGGGGTTTACAAAAAACACAAAGTTGCAGTAAAGAACAGAGTCGCAGTGAAGTTATTACAAACGAATTACAAGTCTAAGTCTCAAGTCAAATGAAAAGCTATTTGAATGTATCAGAAGCATTCTTTTGTCATATCTTATTATCTGTTGCTAGCTGAGATCTTAATTGTGACTTGATTTCAGTTTGGCTTGTATGTTACCTGTAGCTGACTTATGATTGACTTGTGAATGTCTTGTGAAACCTGCGGTCAGACTTATTGACTTATGATCTGACTTGTGATTTGACTTAAGTTTAAACTTTGTGTTAAAATCTAAGGACTGGACAACTCTGAGCAAAAAAAAGGCAATGCCTTGATGCTAAAACATCAACCTGCATCAACCTGACTGCATTTTACGTTGTTTTAGGACAAAACAATTGACACAATAAATTGAGACTGACCTGATCTTTCTCAAGCAGTGCGTTCTCCACCATCTGAATGCTGTCTCGTACCTGCGCCAATGCCTCATGCTCCCTCCTCTCAGCTTTACCACTACAAAACAATAAAGAGAGAAAACAATGATTCTATTCACAACACACATATGAAAACTTCCAAAATGTAAGTCATAAACATAATATGTGTAAGTAATAAGCGCAAGATGTGTAAGAAATAAAGTAATATTTCTGCTTACCATTTGTGGTGTAATGACCTCATTCTGTCCTCCTGTTCCTTCCTTGTGGCAAGCATCCTGGCGTTTTCTTCGGATAAATTGGTTAATCTGTCCAGAGGAAAAAACGAACTGACTGAAGTGATCTTGTTTTGTTTAACTGGAGTTTGTAAAAAGATGTACAAATTTGGCAATGGTTGGAATGAGGGATGGATGTTGATGGAACACTGATTTTGTGTTTAAGAGGTCTCTGATTTGAATGCTGCTGTTGTCCTTTTGTATGTTTTACTAAAATTTGCTTAGTCTCTATTTACATTTCTGATTTGAGTTGAACAATACAGCCATTGCATGACTATAAATACAGGGCCAGATAGCTGTTGGTAGAGTATCGGAACTGTGTTTTAGGGGTCTGAGGTTTGAATGTCACACAAGTCTTTTTTCTTTGTTTAGGTATTGCTTAACTGTACAGTGAGTAAGTGAGGGACAATAAGGCCTGGGAATATAGGGCTTGGTAGTTATTGGTGGAACACTGGAACTGTGTTTCAGAGGTCCAAGGTTCAAATCCCCCCTCAGTCTTGATAGCAGTCCCAGTTTACCTGTGTTCTAGATCCATGACCACTGCTTGTAGCTGCGTCAATCTACTGTCTGCTGATTCCTCCCTGCCTTTAGCCTGTTGTTTCTCCCTCTCCTAGTAAGAAAAAATATCCTGATGAGTTGGATTGAGGGCCCAATTTCATGACTCTGCTGATCACAGAAGCCTGCGGTTACGATCTCTATTCTAACCTCACAGCACAAGTGCAAACAGAGTTTCATTATATAAAATTAAACAGAAGTGAATAAAGCTTGAAATCTTTGGGGGAAAATTTACACTGAATTGCTTTTTTGAATATTCTTGGCACATCATCGGGAATAAGACCATTACCTTTGCCTGGTTATCTTCTTTGAGTTTGTCTGTTGTTGTTCTCATCTCAGCCAGTTGTAGGTTAGCTGATCTCAGGTCGGTTCTAGCTCTCTTGAGATGATCTCGGAGGGAGTCTAGCTCCTGAGACTGAGATGCTATCACCTGCTGAAGATGCTGACTAGCCTGGTCAGGAGAGGGAAAACAAAATAAACCGTCTTAATAGGAGACGGTTTGAAGGAAGGGATTCCTCAAGTCGGAGTTCTTGAAGATTGTATCAGTAATCCTACATTGTCTTGTCTAGCACCCTGATCACTTCTATTCACTTACCATTTCTAGTTTTTGGTTGCCAGTCACCAAACTTTGATTCTGACTCATCAGGGTTGATCCTTTTTCCTAACAAAAAAAAAATTACAAACAATAATTGTAACAATAATAATGAGTCAGCTTCAGCACAACTTAACAAGTCCAAAGAAAAAAAATGAAAAAATGTATATGTTTTTTTCATAATGTTAATAATGTTTTTTCAAGATTCCCGATGAAACACATTTTTCCTACCTGAATAGCCTGAACTCTTTGTGACTGCGCCTCACTGCTGTTCAGTAAATCCTAAACACAAAACAATCTCCATCATTTTGGTTATCAAAAACAAAATCGGTCACATAATATAATGTAGCTTATTGAACCAGGACACAAGATATTGTTAGTACATCCTTTATCAACATCCGTGAAGTAAAATTGAGTGTTGAAACCACAATTAAAGCTAGACACAGGACAGCACAAGACAGTCAACTTAGACAATGACCTTAGAATCATAATCTATTACACAAACACAATGGGGACGACCGACAGACAAACCCAAAATCATACAGACAGGACAACAAATCCTGAACAGACAGAATTCCATTCCAACATGCAAGTACTGACCCTGTGTTCCTTGGCAAGTCTGTCCAGCTCCTGAACCGTTTCCTGCCACATCTCCACCGCGGAATCTTTCTCCTAGAAATAAAATCAAAATTTCTCAACATGTTTGAAACCCTTTCAGTTAAACGTTTTAATTGTTGGAAAGTTCGTATATTTTCAGAAATTGTACGTGCTTGATTTGAAAAAAAGAATAAGCAACAAATTGATGAATTTGTGTGTGGGATCTATACAGTGAAAATTGGTTTAAAAACAAGGGATTACAGGGCGGAAATCCTGAATTTGACTTGACCTACCTGAGTTGTGAGTGTTATCTGCTTCTGAAGGTTGTCGATGAGTTGTTGCTCTTCAATTATGCTGTGATCAGCTCTGGAGACCTCATGAACTGCCTCAAGCTGACCCTGAATAGCTGCCTTTAACTCCCTGTGTAACCTGATCAGGATCAATCAATAATGAATTCTAAATCAACATTGATCTATCGATCTGCATCTGTCCTGCAGACTTGAAGTATTGCCTCCAACTGGCCCAAAATACTGGCCTTTAACTCCCTGTGTAGCCTAATGAGGATTAATCAATAATCAATTCTAAATCAGTATTGATCCATCGATCTGTATCTGCCTCCAACTGGCCCAAAATGGCCTACAACTCTTATTAACATGATCAGAATTAATCAATAATCAATAATTGATACAGATCAATCTATCAAGCTGCCATGGAGATGATGTACTGTCTCCAAGTGGCCATGAATGCTGGTCTTCAACTCTCTTTATAGTCTATCAGGACTGACCAATAATCAATATGTTCCCAACTCAATAAATCAATTTGTCACAAAGCAGCGTACCATTGTTTTAACCAGACTTACCTGTTGTTTTCATTGACCAATTTGTCAATTTTCCCTGCCAATTCTAAGTGTTCAGCCTAAAAGGTAAGTAAGAAAAAAAATGTCTTTTTAAAATAGCCAATTTGGCAGTGCCTGTGATGACAAACATGTTTTATAAAAGGGTCATTACTCACTTAAATATGAGAAAATAAATATCTTTTGCTTCCAAAAGGAAAATTTCATGACAAAAACAATTATCCTCAAATATTGTTCTATAATACGCATTGTAAAATGTGGTGGGTATGTCGTCCCGATATTGTTATTTCATGCCTACCTTGTATGTGTTGATCTGTTTCCGTAGCGATGACAACTGATGATCATATTCCGCTATGAGTGGTGACAACAAACTGAAAAGGACGGCAACAGAGAAAGTACAATATGAATAAATTCACCATCAAAAAGTAAGAAATTCATTTTTTTCTAGTTAATGTGACAAAGTGGGCATTGCAGGTCCAGGTGTTTTAAGTGACAAATTCATCAGGTTTATTTTCACACTTTTATTGTTTGATGCATTGTGCAGACGGTGAGCAATGTACAGGCCCTTGCGACAGTATTTAATTAATAACCGACCCATTACTTTGGCAAGCTTTGATGCTAAATGCAAGATACTGTAACTATGACAACAGACTGTAATTGAGAATAGACCTCAGTAAAAGGACCATTTTTTTCACTGGAAATAGAGATATAGAAATAAACGACAAATACAATTACTTTTTGCTGGTCAGCCATGGAGCTGGAGGATCTCCTGTAGTGTGCAAACTTGCCTGGAAAAAAATAAGGACTTTTAAATGTATATTTTTAAAAAGTGCATAAATTAACAACAAATATAACACCAGGAAAACATTTGAGCTTGATATGATCACTTGTAAACAAATGCAGTTTGATATTTAGATGATTTAATCCAACTTCCAATTTCTTTCAAATGAATGATTTATATGCCAGTGAAGAAAGTCTTTAGTCTCCAGGACTTTTTAAGGGAAAAAGAAGTCACACAATAAGTACGAAATCATTTTGCTTGATTTCCGAATCTTAACAGCATTAAGTATGATTCTAAAAAATAGTGACATTAGATATTTTTAATCAAATGAAATTAACTACAAAAGCTAACAAACTTATAAGACAGCATACCTTTTCATTTTCATCCAGAGGCAAATACTTCTCCTGGTAGCGCTGCAACTCAGCATTCACCCGCTGAACTATGAACACAAACAAAGTGTATAATTAAACAAACTTAAACAGTGAAAACATGTTTGAAATTTATCAAAATAATAGCAAAAAATGAACCCAAATTAGTGCACACGTAACCTTTTTTTGTGTGCATATCATACCGGTGACTGTCAATACAATTATTTTACATACTAGTTCATAGCTATTTAATAGGTACACACTGTCTTTGGTAGTAAGCTGCCTAAACCATCTCGCTGCAGTAAATATTAGTGAAAATCAAAATGAACAAGCTACTCAAACAGAAGGCACTTAAAACAAAGGATGGTTCCCTGTATTCTAAACAGTAGGTACATCAAGACCAGGTCTAAATTACTCATATAATGACATGCTTGTTGTATGCAATGGTTATGACTGTGACTCCGGCTATTAAATTATTGATTGACCTGGCCGTTAGCCAATGCAATGAGTCTAAGATAAATAGGCAATTTCAACAAAGATGATGTGCATTAAAGGGAATATACAACATTTGCAAACATCGAAAAATAAAACTACCAAGTTTTTGCGAAATACCTTAATAGGACGTTGGTAAATGACAGTCTAAAGCATCCTGTAAAATTATGGCACCTGGTATACTGTCATTTTCAAGAAAAGTGGTATTTTTGTATCAATTTCCAACGCTGATCGGCCGATCAGCGTTGGAAACAACTGGCTTTTTTTCAAATACTGGCCCCAATTGACTATTGCACTTGTTTGCAATCGATTACAAACCTATGAACGGGTACGAGCCAGCTAGACTGGTTCCCTGACCTTACAATTCCCCAATGTATGTAAACTGCTCTGTTTCTTCTTATATGGAGTCAGGGAACCAGACTACAGGTAAATGATCGTTTTTCTTGGTTTTTATAGCATTTTCGAACCCAAAACCTCCAAAAAGTCAGTGTAACTATATTTGCTTTATATTTCCAATCCCCCAATTCCATCCATTTCTGAAAATTACAGCAAAAGCAAATGATGTATATTCCCTTTAATAATACATCATTTATTACACTGTTGCGGACGGCCCAATATGAGCAGTACTGCGCTAGTGTGCAGCTGCAGTAAATTTGTCATGGTTCAGTGCATGCATTATAAACCTATCGTATACTGAAGCACTTGAACTATCGTATACTGTTGCTTTGAAGTGACCAAAGATAAAGACATGTTTTTTATTTTTTAGGGGGGGGGGGGAGAAAGGGGTACTGATGAAAAATTTAGAAAAGCGAGGGAGCATCTATATTTAAAGTAGTTATCTTGTTTTTGTTATTACTAAAATACCTATCATTTGTTGTAAATGAAACTTGTTTCTTATCGGTTTATTTCAAATGAGGCTTCACATCTATAGCCTAAATGCATAATAAGGTCTATCATTAGCTGTTTCGGTGTACACACCGAAACAGCTCTTGTTTTTGTTATTTTTTTTTTTCTCTTTTTTTTTTTCTTCCACTTTTTTTCACATAGGATAACACGTGTTTTCGTTCTACAAGGCACTTTTGGACTTTTTTCAAATCCGATCGACTTCAAACCTGGCACACACTTAGACTATCATCTGAAGATGTATGCCGAAACTTTTCGTCATCGTGACGTCATCACGTGTCACGTGACGTCATCCTAAAAGAGCATACTTCAAGGCCCTATATCTACAGAACCGGAAGTCCGATTTGGTTCAAACTTGGTATGCAAGTATTCCGGGACGTGTTATAGACGAAAATTGCAGTGACGTCATGATGACGTCATCGTGTGATTTTATTTAAATTATTCAATTTTTGGACCTTTTACTCATATCTCATAAACGGAATGTGGTAAATTCGAAATTCTTTTTGTAAAAGGTTTGTTAGGTCATACATAGATGCACAAAATTTCGTAAAATGTGTGACGTCATCATGACGTCATGAAAAACGTGATTTTCTGATTCACATATAAGGGTATGTCCGATCGTTATGAATCTTGGTGGGTAGGTAGGTACAGATAAAAGCATTCAAAATCTGAAGTGACGTCATCATGACGTCATCGTCTGATTTTTTATGAATTTTTCAAATTTTAATATTTTCTTCAAATTTTGCAAAAATTATATAAAATACGGTCCGATCAACTTCAAACCCGGCACACACTTATACAGCCATCTGAAGATGTATGCCGAATCATGACGTCATCATGACGTCATCACGTGTCACATGACGTCATCCTAAAACTGCATAGTTTAAGTCACCATATCCAGAAAACTGTGGTCCGATCGGGTTCAATCTCGATATACAGATATTCCAGGAAGCGTTATAGACAAAAATTGCAGTGACGTCACGATGACGTCATCATATGATTTTATATGAACTATTCAATTATTGGACCTTTTACTCATATCTCATCAATGGAACGTGGTTAATTCGAAATTCTTTTTTGCAAAAGGTTTGTAAGGTCGTAGATAGATACAGAAAATTTCAAAAAATGTGTGCCGTCATCATAACGTCATGAAATTTTTTTTTTTTTTGTACATGGGATGGACACTTTTTATATAGAATATGCATGGACATGTTCATTCGACCTGGTGAAACTCATACGGCAGTCATTAATAAAACGTTCGAAACAGCTCAGTGTTTGTCCACAAACACATTTCTAGTTCAGATTTGAAATTATGATTGAGTCTTAAAGCATCAGTTCCAAACATTATTAAGACAGTCCAAAGTACAACTAGGAATTAAAGGCCTTAATTCAACAAATGTCACCATAACAGTGAAACTGCAATTGCCATGATTGTTGACATTATTTTTCTCTGTATTTTACCTTATAACATGTTTTGCGTCACCAGTAATTGATATATTTGGGACAATAAAATTATGCCTAGGAAAAAGACTTGAAACATTCTACCGTATTTCCCTAAGGTGCAACTTTGTCTCAATGTGTCTCCTTAACAGCCATTTGTGGTGAGAATAATTAAAACCCTAGCGCCTGCCAGTATCTGCTTTAATATTGACCCAGTAACTGGAACGTTAAAACTCCCTTTTTCAAATTTTGACTTTGGTCGGTCATACTGACGATTGACCAAAGTCAAAATTATAAAAAGGAGTCCTAGCGCCCCAGTTACTTGGTTTATGCCAAGAAAGACACTCATGGCGCAATTGACATCAAAATACAATTACTGTAAAATCAACAGAATATAAATCAGTCAAACTGAAAAACGGAGTTAGCAAACTTGTTTTAAGAGCCTAACATTGTTGAATTCAAATGGAATAAATAAGGCGGTGGCGCTACAGAACCGGTACCTGTCCCTGACTTTTATAAGGTTTTTGGTAGCCATTGAAGCACCTTAATGGTCTAGTGGATAGCGGTGGTATCTTACCAGATCATGGGTTCGATTGTCCGTGGGGACAAGTTGTTTTTTCTTCCCCGAAATGTCATGTCCTACTTCTAAATGAAACGAAATCTCACTTTTTTTCTGCGGTTCTTGGCTTTGGAAGAATTTTTTTTCAATGGAAGTAGGCCTATAGTCTGATAACCAATACCCAATGATTGATGTCCATGTATGAGCGTTATTGCTGCCAGTTCCATAGCCTCGCGACATCTGGAACTGGTACTGGTTCTGTAGCCACTGACAATAGATACGACCGAGAATTTGTCCCAATCGTTTTCTGCATTGTACCGGTATGGCACTGAACATGCGCAGTGACTGTTTTTGGAGCTTAAGAATGAAAAAATGCGGGACCAGATCACACTAAAATAAACATTTCTAATACATAACGTAGTGGCTATCATTATGGCAGCCGTAACACGATTTTCAACTGCTATCGTTACGGTATTGCAAAATCACCATCTACATCACAAGATCACATTAATAACTACATGTTAGGCCCACCATGCCTACCCGTACCCGTCTGACCAGTACGCTTCCATAGCTCCATTGGTTACAAGCTTGACTACTGAGCCAGGAATCCAACATCTTTTTAAAATAGATTTTCTTTACTTTCATGATTTTAATCAAATCGTTCTTTTTATTTAAATAGATTTCTTTTTCTTCTTCATCATCTGTGGTTTTGGAGGATATTTTTGTAAAGCTATGTGTTGAATGATACTTTGATAGTGTGCACGTGTGATTCCAACAGCCAAAGATCCTGACGTTAATTAGGTCAAGGAGCCAGACGATGTCATAACAATAGCGGTTGAAAATTGCATTAGTCAGCTGTTGTAACAAGCCACTGCTAATAAATAAACAGTCTTATTTTTATTACCATTTGATTACCCCTAAACACGATAATTTACTGCCAATGCCATCATTCAAATATTAAATATTCAGACACACGTGATAAAGTTGCCAACAAAATCTCAACTTCAGGATTTTATTGCTGAAAGTAACTGAGTAAACAAATATTTACATTTTAGCCAAAATTAGTTCAATAAACATGACATGTTGATGAAAAAAAAAATGAAATAGGCCAGCCGGGGGGGGGGGGGGGGGGTGACCCCAATTTGAAAACACAGACAGCTAGATGGGCCTACTAATCCCCTATACCAAATTGGCGCAACCATTAGTTATCCTGCAAATATAGTCCTTGTTTTGCGACACTGTTTCAATGCACATGTAATTATGGTTTTTCCAGATACGCAACTTGCTGTAAGCAATATTTTATCACGGAATTGATTCAGCGCAAATCAACGCAAAAAAAATACATGACAAAATACGAAAAGACTAGCGCATTTAATAGAGCCTACCTTGCTCACGTAGAAATTCCCGTTCTCCAACTTCCATGACGAACAGTTTTCCAGAGTTAAATTGAAAGTGGATATCGTGACTGTACTAGCTCCGGAAATAACAAATTTCCAACCACAATCGGCTTACGGAAAGGGTGAATTTAACCGCCGCGCCGATTCTTCAAGTGTTCCGCCATCTTGATAGGAATTCAAAACGAGGCTGTGGTAATCGTTGCTAGTGGAAACTTTTCCACCAATCAAAATCGGTTCATTACTGAATTAATGAGGTATCGGGTGGGTGGGACTAGTAGGGGGCCGGGGACCGGGAAAGGGGGGGGGGGAGGGGGGGAGGGGGGGGAGGGAGGAGGTTGAGTCTTGCAAGTTATTCACAAATGCGTAGGCATGGTAGGTTTTCGTCATTTTTATTCTAAAGGTTTTGAATTAACCATCAGGAATGCAAAACATTTGAAAATATTTGTCTCTATTTTGTGTGGGTTTTCAGTGAGTTAGCTAATTGTCATTTTAATGTTTATTATTTGGAAATACTGAAATGAATAGGCTAAATAAATACGAGTGAATTGAATCAATGAATGTTATGTTATGATGTTTGCTTTTGTAATTATAGTAAGTTCAGTGGCAGATCGAAGTGGTGGGTGGTGGGTTTGGGTGTGTACCCCCCCCCCCCCCCCCCCCCCCCCCCCAAGTCATGCCGAAAAAGTAGCACATGCATGTTATCCTTCCCTTGAAAATAACCAACTTGAGCCAAAGTTGGACCCACCACTGAAATTAAGATATTTTGACATCAACAGCCTTGTTTTTAGCGTGAAAATTCATCTTTGTTGGTAGTAGTTGGACACAATTTAGAGGGAACCCTTTTATCACAATAAGCGCTAGAGAATTTCGTACCTGTAATTTTCGACTGAAACTCTGAAGCGGCCACATATTCTCTAAAACTAACCCCTCACGTTAGTATTTTCGGTCGTGCTTGCCCCTGTCGTGCCCGTAAAGTCTATTCATAAAAAGTGGAAAAGGGTAAATTCAACATTTAACCATGGTTTAAAAAAACGAATTAAAGCTAATTTGTGAAGGCTGTACACCCTCTTACTTTGGTTTTCATTTCCTCTCTCTAAGTTCCAAAACGATCAAACAGAGAAATTATTTTGACCACGAATGCCCCAAATGATAAATGAAACGTTCACTTATTCGTAAAAGAACAACTAAAGATAAGGAGCGTAAAAGTTACAGGGAAAATGACAATGGTTTGCGGCATCTACAGATTTATGGCCGATTATTCGATTGGAAATGACACTTTTTGGCGGCGCCCTTAAAGTTTTACGTTCACACATGCCGCAAACGTTACAGATAAAATAGAGGGCGCCATTTCACTTTAACGGTCCCCTTCAAAATGTGCAAATTAAATAGAGGGCGCTATTTCACATTAACGGTCTTCGCTCGTGCCCTGTTTGCAGGGAATTCGGAAGCATAAATAAAGCAAATCCGAAGCTGGAGTTGAATCCGAGATTTTGTAAATAGCGTCAACAGCAAATTGAGGGCGCTCTTCTTGGGTCAACGCGAGTGTCAACAAACGAATGTAGAACAATCACAGCGGTAATTCAAAAAGAATATTTCTGACCTTTTTTGCCCTCTGTGCATTAATCGTATTAAGTGATTAATTGTTGTAAAATGAGTGTATTTTGGGGTTGAGGGATAAGCCGATTGAGTTAAGCTTATTGAGAAAATAATCATGAGATCATAATAATTCATATCCCAAATTTTCGGAGTAGAGTTTCATCATCGATCGTGACTCGACTGTCATGACTGTGTAGTGTGTATAAATCGATATCTACGGGCCCGGTTCCTAACCAAAACTAGGCATATCCACTTTTAAATTATGCTACCAAACTAGTTTGCGACATTTAAATGCAGGTATGTCATAGATAAAGAGCAGGGTTTTAAATTTTGAGGGATATTTGGGGGTAAACTAAAATGACGATGACAATGACAAACGCAACACGAACTTGACGATCACCGCGCAATAAACGCACCGTGAACGTGCAAGGCGTGCTGAATCGCACGGCATGAACCATAAACTGCGTAGGAAAATCTTAATTTCTACCCCAAGAAACTGTTAAAAAAGGTGTCATTGGATTGAGATAAGTCTGCTTTAGGTTAAAAAGGTCATTTTTAAGTAATAAAAACACCCTTGACTCTTATTTGATCGAAACTAAACATACAAAGTCATGACGACAATATTGGTGCAGTACCAGGATTTGCCATGGTTAAACTTTCCAAGTTCCAAAAAACAGTCACTGTGCATAATCAGTGCCTGTCCGGAAAAATATTGTTAAAAAGAAAGCTGGCGCCAGCTAAATATCCACTGCTTAATTACATCAATTCGGCCCAGGCCAGCTTTCTTTAGTAAACATGGTAAAGCTCACTTTGCTGGAGGTCATCTTTGATTTTTCTAGTTTTCAAAGCCTCTGGCAAACTAGCGTTCAAATGGCAACTGGGAGAAGAATGTACTCCAGACACCACTTCTTTGGTTGTGTGTACAAAAAGTCTATTGTGAGTCAAAGTGCATTTTCAAAGTACTTTCTAACAAAATCGGAAATGTTTCTCAGTCCCAGATTCATGTCTTTTCAACATTTTTGCATCGACTGCCCTTTCGTGGATTATATGATGAAAAAAGTGGCATCAGGATGCAACATTCTTTCTGAAACCGGTGCCAACCAATATCTGACTGCCTTACTTTAAGACTATTCTGACAAACCCTTATCATTCACATTTCTTGGTTTTGGGGTTTTTTTTTTCAGGTACAAAATGAGTGGCCCCAGTTCTCCAACAGAAATTGTAGCGACAACAACCTCCTCGTATGAGCAACAGGTCATCATTGATCTGCAGTAAGTCTAGTCCGAAAATTTGGGACTCTCAATACACAAGTTACAGTGGAGTCGTTCCTGCTCCATCAATCTGTTTTTAAAAGTCGACTAGGTGTTAACGTATCAGAAATCTGTTCAAATCTGTGTCTACAGCAGTTTTCTTTCTCGAAGACAAGTTTAGCTGCGTTGCTAAGGAAGTTGGGATGTGTTGAACGCCTCTTAAGTTTGCAGAAATTGATCCTAGGACGAGTTGCCAGTTAAGACGAGTTACCCTTCCTAAAGTTCGTCTTAGCGTTTCGTGAAATTGGCCCCTGTTCAGTACAACACCATTTGATTAAAACACAATTGAACTGTTGCTTTACTCAGAACACAGCTGAGACAACTGGCCCAGCAGAACCGAGAATCGATCGCGAAGGCACTGTCAGCTACCAAAGCTGCAGAGACAACCTCTGACATGTCTTCCCAAGCAAACTGTCCCAAGACCACCCACTCCTCGACTGTCACCACCTCTCTCCCTCCAACAACTGATGCAGCTAGCTTGCCATCACAAACCTTGCCAGCCACGTCTCCGTTAGGCACCCAACCTCCACCAATCATGACAGACGTCAGTGCCGACTCACCCGATCAGTATTCACTCACTTCAAGCGCATCCAGCCCGGCCAAATACACCAGCGCTGCCCCCACTGACCCCGTGGCTGTGCCAAGAGTTGACAGCCATCACAGAATACATTCTGCCGGGGGGTTGGTCACAACAGAACCATTCAACCCACAGAAGAAAGACCTCACTACACCTGAGCTCCCAGTCACCAACCCTGCTAGAAAGTAAACTTGGACAAATGTTTTTGTTTGCATAAATTATAGACAAACACGTATTCCAAAAAGCCCAAGATTTTTTGTCTTATCTTTGCTCACTTTCTTATCTCGTTCAAAACTCGAAGTCAAATTAAATCATTTTAAGATTAAAGAAAGATATTGACTGTGGCAGGGTTTGAATCTGTGACGTTCGGACTACCGTTCCGGTGCTCTAGCAACTGAGCTATCCAGCCCTATGTTGGTGTCTCCCCAATTAGTCAATGTCTTTGTCCAAGAGGCGCTAGCTAATCAAATCAGTGGGGTATTTTTTTTGGGAGGGGGGGATATTTTTGGAAAAAACACCTTAATTCTTTGATGACTCATGGTGACTCCATTTAATATGGCTCTTGTTGATTTGTGTTGCTTTATGTACCTTGACTTGCTAGGCTTTTGGAAAGTCTTTTTTGCTTCAAGTTTTGAATTTTTTGTTTTGTTTTACAGAAGCCTGTTGGAAAAGCAGCTAGAGGACACCAAGACGCAGGTCTTCCACCTTGATGCAAAACTGAAAGAGGTTTGTAGATGAGGGAAACACAAAGCATTGTCCCCGAGAGTATAGTAAAACAAGAGTGTACGTCAAAGACCGAGAGCAGGGTTTTGATTTTTTGGGGGAAATTTGGGTTAAAATGACGATACAGCCACAGAAAGCAATACGAAAATGCAATCACTGTGATCTACCGTGAACGCGCAGTACCACGCTGAGTCGCACGGTAACAACCGTAAACCACATCGAAAAAACAACCGTAAACCACATCGAAAATCATAATTTCTACCTCTAGAAAATTTTCAAATTACAAAAAGAAGGTGTCATGAGAGTTCAGAGAAGTCTGTTTAGGTTGAGAAAGTCATTTTGGAATTACATGTAGTAAAAAAACATCCTAGACTCATATTTGATCAAAAGTAAAGAGGGGCCCTACACTACACGATAGCCCATAATTATTTGTTTGTCGTTCACAGTGCAATGACATCTGTGAGAAGCAGAAGCTTCACTTTCGGACAGCCATCGTGGATCTGCAGACCAAACTGAACGACACCATCGTGGGCAGGAACTCGGTGTTAGAACTCAGGTCAGTTCTGGTTCACATCAAGACTTGCAAAAACACTGCTCACTTGGATGTAGAGTCAGGTAACATCCTTATGACCTCTTATGCTGGTGTCATTGAACGTTATGATCTTTGATGTTGGCATCAATGATGCAGTGACATCTGATGCTGATATCAGTGTCAAGATGACATCTGATGCTGATATCAGTGTCAAGATGACATCTGATGCTGATATCAGTGTCAAGATGACATCTGACGCTGATATCAGTGTCAAGATGACATCTGATGCTGATATCAGTGTCAAGATGACATCTGATGCTGATATCAGTGTCAAGATGACATCTGACGCTGATATCAGTGTCAAGATGACATCTGATGCTGATATCAGTGTCAAGATGACATCTGACGCTGATATCAGTGTCAAGATGACATCTGACGCTGATATCAGTGTCAAGATGACATCTGATGCTGATATCAGTGTCAAGATGACATCTGATGCTGATATCAGTGTCAAGATGACATCTGACGCTGATATCAGTGTCAAGATGACATCTGATGCTGATATCAGTGTCAAGATGACATCTGACGCTGATATCAGTGTCAAGATGACATCTGACGCTGATATCAGTGTCAAGATGACATCTGACGCTGATATCAGTGTCAAGATGACATCTGACGCTGATATCAGTGTCAAGATGACATCTGACGCTGATATCAGTGTCAAGATGACATCTGACGCTGATATCAGTGTCAAGATGACATCTGACGCTGATATCAGTGTCAAGATGACATCTGATGCTGATATCAGTGTCAAGATGACATCTGACGCTGATATCAGTGTCAAGATGACATCTGACGCTGATATCAGTGTCAAGATGACATCTGACGCTGATATCAGTGTCAAGATGACATCTGACGCTGATATCAGTGTCAAGATGACATCTGACGCTGATATCAGTGTCAAGATGACATCTGACGCTGATATCAGTGTCAAGATGACATCTGACGCTGATATCAGTGTCAAGATGACATCTGACGCTGATATCAGTGTCAAGATGACATCTGACGCTGATATCAGTGTCAAGATGACATCTGACGCTGATATCAGTGTCAAGATGACATCTGATGCTGATATCAGTGTCAAGATGACATCTGATGCTGATATCAGTGTCAAGATGACATCTGACGCTGATATCAGTGTCAAGATGACATCTGATGCTGATATCAGTGTCAAGATGACATCTGATGCTGATATCAGTGTCAAGATGACATCTGATGCTGATATCAGTGTCAAGATGACATCTGATGCTGATATCAGTGTCAAGATGACATCTGATGCTGATATTATGACCTCTGATGCTAGTGTCATTGATGTAATGACCTTTAATGCTGCTGTCATTTTTCTCATGACCTCAATGCAAGGACCGATTGATTGTACGTATTTCCCCTGGTACACAAATGACAATGATGCTTCAATATCAACACAAAAACAAGATACATCAAAAAATCAATATTATGTACTTTATTATTTTCTTGTATCTTTGACAGACGAAGAGAAGCTGAGAGCCAGGAGAAGCTCGTCAACCAGCTCCAGGATACCTTTGCCGATGTGGAGGCAAGCAACCATCAACAAGCACAGGTAAAGCCAACCCCAAAACTCTGATTTTACTGGATCATCCCATCACAGGTGAAATCAGAGTGCTGGCTGCACACTTTTCCATTGGCATCAGATCCAGTGGAATCGGGTGCGAATATCGACATTCAACATGTTTGATTTCATCTGGTCGCCTGGTGTATGGTCAGATCGGTCCGAATTTACCACACACAGCTCTGTACAATGAACTGGTGAACAAGTAAAATCAGAAAGGTGTGCGCTGGGCTTTTTGCTCTGTCATCAGAAGAAATCTGGCCACAAAGTGTTTGTTTTTTTTATTCTGGACAAACGGAGATTTGTCACAAAAGAGGCGTCAAGGGTTTTGGCGATTTTTCAACTTTTCTTAGAAATTGGGCGTGGTCCTTCAAGACATTGCCATCAGTCGCCTCTTGGATTTTGTCAGTTGTTTATAAAGAGTGTACCCTTAATATGCAGTTCTAGCCACCTGACTTTGGTGTTTCCTGCAGGTTCTTCAAGACGCTAGCAACCGAGTGTCCATCCTGCACCAAGAACTACAAGCCTGCAATGCCACACTGACCCAGGTCATGCAGCTAACTGTTCACCATGCTGCCCATCGAGGGCTCACTCTCAGCCACAAGACAAACTACTCTGGCCCCATGGATTCTGAGCTAGTTGCAAACACACTGAAGGAGGTGCTGGAGTTCTATGAGAAGGAGCTAGATGGGATGAGGCAGAAGATTGGGAAGGCGGAGCTTGAACTGACGGAGGCGCGGGAACAGTTTACTGAGAGGTGGAGAGAGAATGGGGAAGAACAGAAACAAATGTAAGTATTTAAAGGTAGAGTAGATCATTTGCAGCTATCCAAAAACTGACGAAATTATTGTTGAAAAGTTTACTTGGTTTAAAGATGGTAATTGGACTAAACTCCCTGTGAAATTATTCTTTCTGGTGTGCTATCATTTTGAAGAAGACAATGAGAGAATGCATTTCCAAAGATGCGTGAAGTGATGCCTTTTTGGGAATTTCCATTTTTAGTTGGTTTGTAATTTGGTGAACCCATGAATGGGTGCAAGCAAGCGTTAAAATGACGCACACGAGCATGTGATTGTTATTATTCGTTGGTTCAGTGCTTGACATCGCGTAGCTGCAATCGGCTGAATGAGAACTTGTCCCGGACACTGACTTCGATTTCAATTCAAAACATGACTTGGCAACTGTTGAATTTAAATCGAGAATAGAATATTGTTTTCCTGGAATATACAGCATTCACAGAGCTAAAACATTATCGGGTAGTTGTTAAGCACCCTTCTTTACATTTTGAGCATTCTTGTTGCTTCAAACGACAAAAATGCACAATTCGCAAATGAGCTACCCACCTTTAAACGTAAATCCAGGTATTTGGCCATTAACATTCCTTAATCGTCAGAGAAACATTCACTATGAAGGAACCCAACTCTCCATTTTTTAGATTCAGTCAATAAACATATCAGGAAAATGCTTCTTTCCATTTGTTCCAGGCTGCGCAATCTGCGCGAAGAACAAGAGAAGCAGCTGAATGCAGCCAACGAGAGGGCTCAAAACGCTCGAACACAGACTCTGAGTTTACAGTCACAACTGGCACTGACACAGTAAGTTTGAAAATAGTGTTGTTGGGTGTAGCATATTATTATTTAAAAAAAGTTGGAATGAAACCAAGGATTCCTCAAATGTGCCCTAGGCACTGTAGTTCGCAAACCTAAAGAAACCTGTAGAGAGGAGACAATGAGAAGAAATTACAGTTTTTGAGGTGGGAGGAGTGTTATTCTGAGGAAAACCCACTGTATCCGGCAGGGACTGAAAACCCAATCCACATGTTGGCTCAGCTGGGATTCAAACCCGGGTCACGGCAGTGGAAGGCGAGGAAAGTACCGCTACGCCAACCTGACTCCCCTGTTTTAAGAAAGAAACTTGACCGAGCTCAGGCAAGCAGCAAATTAAAGCATGGTCTTGATGACCCTTGACATGACCTGGTGACCCCTAGTATGGCCTAATGACTTGGATATTGCCAGACTGTGCTCATGTACATTACAATATGCATTGTTTGTCTAACTGTGCTCAAATCTGTGACACCAGGGTTCGCAAGGGGGTCATTGTGCATGGGGTCTATTGGGCATGTATGACTTTTATTATCTAACATAAGTTTTTGTTATATCCAGGGAGCAAATGCAGAAGCAGTTGGAAGCGAAGACAGATCAAATAACGGAAATGCAACACACACTGGAAACACTACGTGACGAGGCAAAGAACGCTAGGGAAGCCCTGCAGACAAAGGTAGATACAAGAAGAGAAACGTACGGGTCCTAAACCTGGCACACACTTCTCACAAATGAAAAAGAAGAACCAGAATTGTTGTCAATCATAGATTAACCCTCCTGCTATCTGAACAGTCACAGTCAAAAAATCAATGCTCTTCCCCTGCCTTTTACACAGGCTAGTCACCAACAGTCAGATCACATTTCAAGCAATCACTGTGACTAGTCAAATTCAATCAACAGACAAAAGCAGACAAGCGGTAGGCACGGCTGGCTTATCAATCACCTTCAGTCAAAGCATAGCTGTATCAAGTTACATAAACAGTCACAGCCAGTCAATCCTGCTGTATGTGGGCTGGGAGCTCTAAACTGTTGAAAACAGTCACTTGATTGATTTTGACTGAAAGGACAACTTGGCACAGAGTGTATGTTTGCATAGGAGGGTTGAAGGTAATATACAACATTTGCAAACATAAAGAAACAAAACTACCAAATTATTATGAAATACCTTACTTGACTGTAAGTGAATAATAGTCTCAAGCATCCTGTGGAATCATGGCACCTGGTTTGCTGTCATTTTCAAGTAAAGTGGAATGTTCGTGTCAATTTCTAATGATGGTCGGCCGACTGACTTTTATTCAAATACTGTTCCACATTTTCCAAATTCAGTTACACGTTTTGTATGCTATAAGTCACACATCCGTGAACAGGTGCAAGCCAGTTAGTCTGGTTTCCTGACCAGACAATTGCCTGATATCTATATATTGCTCCGTTTAGTCTGAGGTTGGGTCAGGGAATCAGACTGCAAGAACATCATTTTTTTTCTTGGTTTTTCCTACATCTTATGCACGCAAAACTTTCAACAGGTCAGTGTAACAATAGTTGCTTTAAAATACTAACCCCCAAATCCATCCATTTCTGAAACTTACAGCAAAAGCAAATGTTGTATATTACCTTTAATCTGAAGTTGATTTGTTGGTTGTTTTTTCCATCAGTGTGACACACTGTCTTTGGATCTAGACACTGAACAAAAGCAAAACAAAGCTGCTGCAGGAGAGAAGAACCAACTACTTGATCAAGTGCAACAACTTGAACAACAGCTACACGATGCAAAAGTAAGATTTTGGGGTGATTTTTTTTATTGAAAATTTGACAAAAAATCTCTTGCAAAAGAAAATCTATATATCTCTTTCAAGTCCTGATATGGTGTAAGATAACGTGCGCCATCGCATCGTTTTCAATAAGCATAAAGTTTATTTTTGTGTTGTAAAAATCATATTGAAATTGTGGTAGAACGATATTTCAAATGTTGCGAAATAAGATCTACACTTGAATTTTTTGGAAACTTTCTTGAAACACAGGAATCTGCAGAAAAAGCCGAGGCAGACATAGAGGCTTTGCATGAGGAGAATAACCGACTGTCCAGCCAGGAGGAGGAGTCTAGCATCAAGCTGAATGCCCTCCAGAGCCAGCTGGAGCGCAAGGCTAGCGAGTGTGAAGAGCTCGGCAGGCTGGTGGAGGAGGTTAAGCTGGAATCGGCCAGGCACGAAGAGGAACGGGTAAGAGAAATATAAGCATTGATAAGAAGTTCAATTTATTAAGAAAGAACAAATTCACAATTCACAGAGTCAGAATAGTATTGCAGGGTTTTTTTTGGCAAGAAGAAAAATTTGTCAGAAAGTAAAAGGTTACGCGGCGAGCTTCCTTTACACTCGGTTGCCCAATTTCATGTATTTGTTGCTATAACTTTGACAGAATGATTTCTAACTGTTGTCGCCCCCAAAAACATTCATTAACATTTATCTTTAATTATTCCTCAAGAAAAAAAATGATGAGAAATCACCTGGAGATGGGTAAAAACGAATTTTACTTACGACCTGTCCGGCCCTTTCATTCCTAGGTCTCCTTGTTCAATCATCTAAATGCTATCGCATTTATCTCACAGGTCTCGGAAGTAGAGGCAAAAAGTAAGCACCGCATTGTGGCCCTGACTGACGACATGACGACACAGCTCAGTCACATCACTCAAAGGTGCGAGATGCTCATGGAAGACCTCAAACAGAGAGAAGACGAACTGGAAAAGACTTTCAAATCCAAGGAGGATTTGGTCAGAAATCTTGCAGAGGTTCAGCAAGAACTCCAGCAGGTAACGTCGAAGAAGGATGACGCGATGTCAGACCTTGATAAGATGGGACAGGAGCTGGAGGCGACAAGGAAGGAGAAAGAGAAATTTGTCAATTTGTTGGAGGAGAGAAACCTTGAGCTGAGGTCTGCGCAGAGTTTGAGAGATCAGCTGCAAGTTCAGGTAGGCACAATGTAAAACAACTTAATACAAGTGCTAAAGGGTTAACCCACTGAGCCATGATTAATTACCTTCGCGGACAGAATAACACGGGAAGCATTAGCAAAGTAGAGAACTTGTACTTAAACCTTAACTTTACTGATCCTTTCAAATCCAACAACGTGGTATGGAACAATTGCGCTTGATGTAAAAAGATAGAGACAGGGCCGGATTAAGTGTTCCGTAGACCCTAGGCACCAGTGTTTTGTAGGCCCTACTCGGTCAGACCTAGCCGCCAGCACCATCTCATATAAATGCTGGTAAGCGCAGGAGCCTTGCATAATTTAGGTTGATGCTCAGCTGTACTAAGAAAGCCAGGTCCCTGAAGCGTGCTCAAAATCGAAAATTCAGAGAGCGATGCTAAGTATTTTTAGAAACTGTTCTTGTGTGCTGGCGGGGATACCTGTGGGTTGTGTGTGTTTTACACTGAAGTATTTTCATAGGCCCTCACATTATTCGTAGGCCCCCACATTTTTCGCAGGCCCTAGGCATAGTGCCTACTGTGCCTATTGGATAGACCGGACCTGGGTAGAGCCCACTGGCTATCAACGTACGTACATGCATGGGCTTGCAATTTATGCTCCTTGAAACTTTAAAGACACGTGGTAGAATTTGGAAGATTCAGTTGGCAACATCAAACATTACAGAAATCGTTTGCTAGAAATCATTTGAATATTCTAGGAAGTTGTGGAACCTTTTTTTGTTAAAAGGTGACTGAGAAGGAAGAACAGTGTAGCAGGCTTCAAGAGCAGACGTCCAGCATGACTCAGCTGGCTGAGGTCACCAGGAAAGCTAACGAAGATTGGACGCAGGAACGAACGCAGATGAAGGAAGTACTGGACAAACAAGCCAAGGTTTGTGCTCTGATGGGCAGCTGATGGACTCTTTGGACGCTTGTATATCTCCTTGTATCTGTCTGGCAAACGTCATTGATTGCACACTTCTGTTGTATCAAATTCAACTTATCTGTTGACCCTAGTAAGCTTTAGTTGTTAACACATATCCTCACCATTTTCACGACCTGACATACACGCGCTGTGCGCTTTCAGTTTGTGAAAGCTGTGTAATCAATAATTTCGGTTCCAAGAACTGACATGTGGATGTGCGCAAACACTTCGTGCATTGACACGTTATAGAAGAACTTCAGTTTTCATGAACTGAAACACGAGCATGAGGCGGAAATACAATTCGGAGAAAAACGCTTTGAAAGGTCTGACATGAATTTACCCCTTGCGTACACTTGTGGGCTCACACAAACATTTAATTAAAAACATTTTAACTGGTGAAATTAAGACAGGCTTCAGTTCGTGAAAACGAAAATGTACGGAGTGTGCGCATGAAGTACTTGGATGTCAGTTCGTGAAAACCAAAATTACGCGGTTCTGTAAAGTATTGGCTCCTGCCGGGCAATCATGAACCACCAAGTGTCAGTTCATGGTGTTCGTGACGATATGCACTTGTTAGTCAGAGGTCATGGGTTTGAGGTCCACCCAAGTAATTGTGTTGCCCCTCTCCTTTTGACGCCCAAAGGAGCTGCAAGACTCCAAGCTTCGTCAGGAGAGCCTGGCCAGGAAGCTGAAGATACGAGAGAAGAGATTGCGGAGTTTGGAGGAGGACAAGAGGGGACTTGAGGAGCAGGCTCAAGGCACGGCCAGGGAGTCTGAGACGGCGGCAAGGAGCAGGGAAGAGCTGAAGACAGAGCTGCGACAAGCTAAGACTCAGGTATTAAGTCCATCACGCATGCCTAAGTGAAGATTGTGAACGTGCAAAAGGGACCAGATTTCCAAAGGACTCCAAATTTTGTGTGACATCGAAAAAGTCTTTAAAACCAGCCAGCCGTTGTTTCATCAACCGTTTAAAACCACCCACGCGACGGGCTTTTGACCAGTAGCAAAGGGTTAACTGTCTTATGTATTTATGAATTTAGGAGAAACATTTTGGCTATTTGTTCTTGTACAGTGGAGGAATTAAGAGAATTTGACATTACATGTTTGAGATGGTACTGTGTTTAAAAGACTTCTTTGTTTTCTTACAGGTGGATTTGAAGTCTATAGAAGGAGAGAAACTAAGAGCCAGTCTACTTGAGATGGAACAGAGTCACCAGCGAGAGGTCCGCAGGTACCAGTCCAAGATGGAGGGACTACAGAGGGAGTTGCAGACAGCACACAAGACTATCAAGGCTACAGCTTCCGTAGACGGCAAAGGCGAGTTGAAAGAATCATGAAATGGCGTTTTTCACAAATGTTGGCCGTGTTAACGGCTTCCACTTCAGGCACAGTCGTAATTCGGGCGATTCACAATGCAGTGAGTGCACCACCAAGAATAGTTGTGAATGAATGACTTGCAGCCAGTGTTGTAGTCGAGTCTATATTTCAAGTCCATCTCTCAAGTCCTCCACAGTTTAAGTCAAGTCACAAGCTATTCAAATGAACTGTCGCAAAAGCATTCCTCATGTCATTGGTTACCCAGTTACTTGTGACTGGAGTTGTTAGAGGATATGTGATCTACTTGTGACCGGATTTGAGATGGAGTGGACTCGACTACTCAACTGCTTGCAGCTTTGCAAAATGGTAGTCAGGGGCCAGTTCGTTTTGACTGTAATGCTTGCTTTCCTTCCTTTGATCTGTGTAGCTATCCGAGTCGCTGAGAGCATGCAGAAACAAGTCACAGCCAAGCGTAGCGAGATTGACATGCTGCAGAGTGAGCTTCACTGGCTGAATGAGTGTCTAGATGTCCTCAGAAAGGTTAGTGGTAACAATCACGTGCATGTTAAAAAAACAACCTAACCCTAACGCTGCCAGATTTATCAAGCTGTACTAGCAGTTTTTAGAGGACTAAGAGTCCAGCCAGTGTAACAACTGGTACTTACAAAGTGCCTTTGCCAAAGGATACAAATAAGTACTAACTATTACCCCTGTTCATCAGACCATTAGACTATTACTGCAACAGTTTGAGATCAGCGCAATCTAGTCTCCACCCTCACAGGCACCCATTCGTACTCCTGGGTGGAGAGAGGCAATCGTTGTAAAATGTCTTGCCCAAGAACACAAGCACCATGTTCCCTGTCAGGGATTGTACACTGATACATGGGTCAAACACCGTAACTATTGGACCTCAGTATTAATTAACATTGGGAATAGATGGCCAATGAGTTGAAGATTGGTTTCCTGCACAGTGGAGGATTCAGGAAGGTTTCTAGCAAAAATAACTCGGAAGTTATGGTTAAAATATCTTGGCTGGCCAAAGTCAATGTAAGATGGGGAACAATTTGTTTGTTGTTGGTGATTTTTGGTTTCTATTGGTAATCCTGATAATCTAGGAAAAATCATCCCTGGTCGTTGAGCGAGATCGCTACAAGGCCCAGGTGTCCGAGTTGACGAAGAACAACCAGAACTTGCTGAAGGAACAAGAGAAGGTGAAGGACAAGAGATCAGAGCAGAGCTCCGTCGTGGCAAAACTGGAAGAATCTTTGAAAAAGGTGAGTCCATTTCGTTGTTTTCGCGCTGCATGCTTTCAGCTCATGAAAACTGTGTACCTGTAAGCAATAATTTTGGTTCACGAACTGAAAATGACATGCAGTAGTGTGCATGCACTTCGTACACTGACGCGTAACAGAGTGCTTTTGGTTTTTACGAACTGAAACGCGAGCATGTGGCGGTAAGAAATGTACAGAGTGTGCGCATGTAGTACTTGGATGTCAGTTCATGAAAACCAAAATTACGCGGTTCTGTAATATAGGCGTCTGCCGGGCACTCATCACCCACCACCGTGTGTGAGTTCGAGTTGTCTGTGACGATTTGTATAAAAAACTGTTCTGTGGACAGCCCATTTTCCTCGGCTGTACTTGTTCAAAGAAACGTATTGATATTTTCCATTACAACTCTTTCTTTTCTGCTTAGGCAGCTAAGAGGCATGCTGAGTGTCAGACAGTCATAGGGAGGCTGGAACAAGACGTAGTAAGACTGAAACTCAAGCACCAGCTAGAAATCAAGGTCGGTACCAGACTGTGTCAAAAACATTGTTTGCATTTCTAACATCGCTGACTGAGAAGCAAGATACAAAGCAGTTCTTACATTTTGATAAATACATAAGAACTTGTCGCCTAAACGACGTTTTGGGAGACACTTATCAGTTCCATTGTAATATTCTTTTTTTTCTGTTCCTTTATTTACTCCCAAACAGGAACTCCAGAGAGCGTCAAGTCGCCCTAGCCCCTCGGCAAGCATTCCCTCCAAACCATCCAGCCCTAAAGATTCCCCGACTCAAGGAACGGCCGCATTAACAAATAGAGCCAATAATATTACAGCAAACCAGAACAGAGTCAAACTTAATACAGCAAACAGCAAAGACTCCTGGCATCTCAAAAGAACTAACATGGATTCGAAAAAGGAACTTGCTAGTAATGCAGCGACTCGCACAAGAGAAGCCACTATTAACAATGATTCAAGACTTGATGAGCATCCACGCAGAGATTTGCCCAAGTCCGTTGTGCATTTGAATCCCCTGGTCGCCAGTGCTGTAGTGGAGAGAGACAGGATTCCGTCTCAGGGCAAGGAGACTCAGACAAGTCTACTGCATAAAAATGAACTGGCCAAGCTTCTGACAGATGGAGAGCTGCAGTCCCTCCTGCTTGAGATGTACGGCATCGTGTCTGGTCAGCCCAAGCTTTCCAGATCTACAAGTCGGTCTGCAAGAGTAGTTCCGTCCCCTGACAATCCAGCTTATTCAGTAAGGTAGGTAGGAGGTGTCTACTAAAGTACATCAACAAACCCCATGGTGTTCAAAAATTATTCAAAGGAAATATATGATATAATATATATAAAATCGTTCTCAGGTCGACCTTGCGACGACCCAGAAGAGTCGGCAACTGACTTCAGGATCAACTTGTTCTCTCTTTCTTGTCTCTAATTTTTCAGCACATTGCAAGAAGTTCAGGAGACGAACACTAAAGAATCGGGCTACATCACAACACCCATGACAAGGCAAGGAAAATCAGGTAGGTTGGGCTCTTAAATTCTTTTTTTTATTTTGTAAGAAAAAGGGAGGACTCACTACACAGTTTATAGGATAAGTAAGTACCGGGTTAATCTGTCACGAGCCAAGTATGGCCCACCAGGCCAGCATTATCTCCGGTTTCCTTGGCATGAAACGACCGAGAATATTTCTATTCCCCCTGGATGGGATGCTAGTCCATCGCAGGTTACTCCCCAGCTAATGCCGGTACCCATTTATACTCCTGGGTGGAGAGAGGCAAGTGGGGGTGAAGTGGCTTGCCCAAGGACACAACATATGGTCAGCAGCTGGATTTGAACCCCTGACCCTCTGATCATGAGTCCTGAACCCTAACCACTAGGCCACACTCCCCACAAGTGTGGTTACTTATTATGTGGGGAGAAAAAAACCTCTAGTATATTCAGGACAGTGCAAATAATACTCTTACCCAACATCTTTAATCTTTGCATACCAGGTATGACGGCACCGCTGCTTACCTCCTCCCCAGTGAGGGAAGATACCGCACCAAGGACCCAAGAGTTGAGCCTTCTTTCCTCCGTCCCAGCCGTGCGGGACAGTCCCCGGACCACCCCGGAACCAGACTTCCTGCTCAGACCACAGTCTCCCGTCTCCGATCTGCTGGGCGTCAGTCCCCATGGCGATCAGAATCACCATAGCAACAACAGCAGTAACCACAATACTAGTCATCAGTCGGGTTCCTTTACAATGACCTCCTTTGAAAGCCTACAGAGAAACAGGGCACCAGAGTTTGGTCTTGATTTGAGTGAGAACAACACTACACTTCAAAGTGGTCTGGGGTCCTCAATTAGTAAGTTTTCTATTGTTTATGCCATCACAATACTAATTGTTCAGAAAAAGCTTTTAAAGTTTGGCTTTTTGAAATCCCTTGAGATTGCTCTGTAATGCTGTACCTCATTTGAAGGGCCTTTCAAATGAATTTGCAAGTGGAAATCATCTGCAGATATGCCACGGAATTGTATAATGGGTTGCAATTTTTGACTGAAAGTAGACTTTATTATAAAACTGATTTTTAGCCGTGGGTAGCTCTGTGAAACTGACTTCTGACAGTGCGCATTGTAATTGCTTAACTCTGATCGTGGGTCGTCTTGTTTTTTGTATCGTGTTAGGTGAAGGAGACCTTGACATGAGGGTCCAGAATGACCAGCTGAAGCACTTACAGGATAAGCTACAAAGGCTCAGCAAAATGGGAGGACATCTGCAGAAAGAAAACACAGGCAAGTGAAAGAACAAATACGACTACTGCTGAAAATTAGTTGGAGTTCTTGTCAAAGTCTAAGGCAATACACATATCCTCTATGCAAGGATAAACTACTCACCTGAGTAATGAAAGGTTTGCGGAAACACCATGTGCGAATAATTTCTCAACTAAGAGAATGGTTCTGAAAAGAATCAGAGGTGTAAACTCGACGTTCCGGTCAGTATGCTCTGACCGTCTTCAGGAGAATTCTGACATCATATATTTTCCACTCATCAGCTGCATATGTCTGTTATGCTCTCTTTAATTTACTTGGAGATTTTAGTCATTGACTGGTTGAAGTGCACTGATTGTAATTTGTTTATTCCTTTTTTTATCGATTCTAAACAGATATGGCCATCATGATTAAGCGTCAAGACACAAGGCTCAAGAAATGCCGAAGGCAAGAACAGAGCATCCAGCAACTCGCCAAGAAAGGCCGATAAAATCTCAAACAGGCACTTCATCTCTAATTGTCTTATTGAGTCCTTCGCAAAAATTTGATCTGTTCAAAACCAGCTTTGTAACAAATTACATGTTGCATGGTGTCAGTGCGTGTTATTTTTTTTCTTTGGTATTAATAAATGTTCAACTTGTATGTTTTATTCAAACCAAAAAAACATCTGCAACTCTCCTGAAAAAAAAAGTTGTTTGTTTTGGGCAGAAACAGATCCGTTGTGCAAGCAGACTGGCTCCTGCCCATGCATTATCAATATTGATTTTGGGGCGGGAACCAGCTTAGCCAACAAGAGTGGAATTATTGTGTGGCAGCCACTTATTCAAAATTGTAAAGTAATAATTCAATATTTATAAGATGGAAGGGCAAAAACCTATTGCATAATTCAATAACTAAACATGGGCCAATATCTTTTAGTCGATGTCTCACTCAAAGGTGAATAATTTTTGTTTTGCTAGAAAAATAGCAATTTGGAAGGGGATTCTCTGGTTTTCGGGAAGAAACTCGAAACATAGCACAATGAACACAACTTTAAAGAGGGGAGGGGATCAAATTGATATAAAATGGTTAACAAGTTCTTTTTACTTGGGGTCTTTTGACAGGCCATTCCGTTGTTTTGAAAAGCTTGTTGAAAAAACCTCAAAAGTCTTACTCGGGTGGGATTTGAATGTTGCCCAGGTCATCTGTCAAGCTTGAAGGCGTCATGCCTGAAAATTTGAACATTATGGGCAAAGTTTTCGATATTTTATATTTCCAATTGACTACCAATGGAAAGATAACACTGACATGAATTAGAAATCTTTGAAGTGCAGTTTTCACTAAGTTTGGATGCAAAACATTATTTGGATTTGGATTTCCTTCATGACCGTAACCAAGAATAAAGTAACCACTAATTTATTTCTCAAGTCATGCACACATCATTCTAGTCTCATCGTGTGAACGTTTTCAATGTGCAATAAAAAAAAAACACTTTTAAGCAGGCAACAAACGCTATGGGTAGACACCGGAGGGACACTGTTCTTATTGTTTCTTTGAAGTATTGTGGAAAAAAATCTACGAATAAAGTGTACAAAGTATTAAATCATGTGCCGTGTGCATACTTGTTTTTGTGATTTGGGAAGATGTTTGTGTCACCCCCCCCCCCAAAAAAAAAAAGAAATACAAAAAATGGCAATTACAATCTTGTAAAAAAAGGTCAATTTTTGTTTGGGGAAAAAAGGTCAATTTTTGGCCAAATTTTGATAAAATGTAACGCTAACCCCTTGCATTTTTTTTCAATTTTGACCCCAAAATGGAATTTTTTGAAACTTGCTAGAAATATGCCTGAGGGGCCCTTGAATACATTCCAATTCGATTTGTAGAAAGATATGCTTTTTTGGAGAAAAGTCAATTTTTTGCCAAATTTTGATAAAAATGTAAGGTTAACCCCTTGCATTTTTTTTTCAATTTTGACCCAAAAATGGAATTCCTTGAAACTTGCTAGAAAGATGCCTGAGGGGCCCTAGAACGCGTTCCAATTCAATTTGTTGAAAGATATGCTTTTCCAAAGAAGATGTGGACAAAAATATGGGATAAAATCTTTCAAAAATGTTAATTTATTTCTCACAAAATCGATGGTTTTTGCCCAAATCTTCAAAATATTGGGTGTTTGAGTATTGATTGGTGCTCCTCTTACTTCCAAATGAATTTCTGCATTGTTTGGAGAAAAGTCATTTGTTGGCCAAATGTTGATAGAAATGTAAGGCTAACTAACCCCTTGTATCTTTTTCAATTTTGACTCAAAAATGGAATTCCATGAAACTGGCTAGCAAAAAGCCTAAGGGACCAAAACCACATTCGCATTCAATTTGTAGAAAGATATGCTCTTATAAACAACCGTTTTTTTCGTCTTGTGTCGATCTCGAGCTGGAACAGTAAGACATTATTTTTCCCTTTCAACCAGACCTTTAAAATCACGAAAACACGAAAACACGAAATTTTGGGGGATTTCAGGTAATAATACCCCTTTAAATACTATTCAAGCACATTCTGTTTATTCCAATTCATAAATACCTTGAGTCAGAGAGTCAAAACAAGTCAAAAATTGTAAATATCCAACGATTTTGTTCAACAAGTCTACAATGAAACCCTTCTGTCTATGTTATGGTATGTGCCTCTCGCAAGTAGATGTTAATATTTCCTTATATGGAGATTGGCGCGCCACGTACTGCGCGATGTGGCCCAGAACAAGGCGGTGCCGGTGTGACAAATTAACTCTAAAGTTATCTTTTTGGGTTAAACTCTCTCACGTGACCGGTCACCTCCTAATTCAGCTTCGCTTAGGCATGCGCAATACTATGTTGAACAGGACCAATAAAAGGGTAGAATGAACCAGATTTTATAGGAGTCCAAATGTCACGTGACACCGGAAAAGTGTTTAAAACCAGCCAGTCGGTGTTTTATCAACCGTTGAAAACCACCCGCAGTGACAGGCTCTCGACCAATAGCAATGGGTAAACTGTCTTAGGGAATTTATAAATGCAATTTAATTGCCTGTCTCTATAAAATGGTTCTCAATAATGTTGTTAATAATGTTCACCTTTCAATCGAGCTAAAATGTTACTGCTGTTTGCACCTTAACGCCAATTTATACGCTTCCCTGTACTTCCGATTAATGACGCCGTAAATGAAAGGATTGCTAGCGGAGTTGATGTAGGAGAGGATGCGGACAACTTGGAACAGAATAGAAGCCTGGTGTTCGTCCAGTACGTACACGTGTCCACGGAAATAACCGATCAGGAAGCAGAGCTGGGTCACCTCTAAGGGAGCAAGGAGTACGAAGTATGCCGTACCAGTCACGACCAGCATGCGGGCCACCATGTTACGTGCGTGCGGACCAGCTCCGACGTTCGCCTGACCGTGCGACTCCATTGCGGCAACCTGTCGTCCGAGGGCGCGTATGATCCGGATGTAAAAGACGAAATTCGCAACCAGGGTCGCAAAGAAGGGGAAGGTTCGGCACAGGCGGGTGTAGGTAGACATCCAATCGTACGGGGGACTGTATGTGATGACGGTGGACGGAGAGCTGGCGTGGTCGCTCCCTTGCGGCCACTGCAAGCAGAACTCGATCTTCACTCCGCAGGTGGGTAGGAAAGTCAGGGAAAGCAATACGGCTACCATGCCGGCACAGGTAATGGCCCGGACCGCCCTGCGGCCGGCCTGGCCGCGGGCTACCCGCATCGGGTGGCAGACGGCGTAGAATTTCTCCAGGGACACCAAGGTGATCAGGAAAAGGGTGGTGAAGTAGGAGGTGTTGGTGATGAAGTTGGCCAGCATGCAGCCAGCGGGGCCTCCGTACCCGGCTTCGTCAGGCGAGATGGGGGAGGACAGGAACAGCAACAGTTTGTCCCCTACCCCAGCGCACACGTCCATTATATCAGCCACGGCTAGACTGACCAGGTAGTAGTTGGTAGGCGTTCTCATGTGAGGTAGTCTGGACACAACGAAGATGAAAGCCCCGTTGGATAGTACCCCGAGAACGGCAATCAATGGCAGCACCACTGTCGTCATGATGGTCTCGCTGCTGGTATGTGGCTGAGCTATGAGCAAGACATCGTCTTGTGTGACGTTGTGGACGCCTCCGTTGCACTCCATATTGGCAATTCAGCGGTCAAACCACGAGCTATCTTCAGAGCTGTTTTTAGTTAACTTTTCGCGTTCACCCCGAACAACTGAGAGCAGTATACGTTAGATTCTTGTTTTCCTTACATCGGCGGGCAAACTTCCTTCGACTTATACATGTATGTCACTGATTATATACGACAATCAGCAAAGACTAGTGACACGGCTTGGACAAAGAGATGTTGTCCCTTTTTCGTGCCTTTTCTAACAACGGGGTAGTTACGTGAATTATAGGCCTATCGTAGTTCAAGGATCGTCACGATGCACCCGGCCTGGAGGCATATTAACGGTCGCCCTCGTATGTCAGGCGTGATTGTCCAACCTATCGCGTACTAATCTATATGCATCAATCATAATCACGATTTGACGTCTACCTATTTTGAAACACTCTGATTTCAAGAAAAGGAAGCGGGATTTCCATACCGTCCGGAAGAGCTCTGTTCCCCACTGATTGGGATCGCTTGACCCTGTCTCAGCTTCTCAATACGACATTTTATTCCCAATAAGTCTAGCATATACCTGTGGCGCATTCGTCCAGCATACAATACATGCAGCTATACGTGTTCCGTTCCCAATCTTGCAACTGTAATAACATCAGGTCTCAGAGCACCTCACGATGATTTGCGAAGGACGTCCAAAATTACTCCCGTATCTTGCGTCATACGTAATGATCGTATACGGACGATTATAAGTCCCGCGGTATATGGAGTAATCGGATTCAGTCAGTCCGAGAATCGATCTGCTCGCCGTGATTCTCTAGAGCGTCCCCGCTGTTTGATCGCCTTGGACCCGTACCACAGGCGCGTGCGTGCGCTCACCTTGTACAACGTCCTTGTTGCAAGAGGAGCCGGTTCATCTTCGGAGAGAAAAAGGAAAGATGAGAATAGAGAAGCATTTCTTTCTTTCTTTATACAGGCCTACCAGCTGCTCGCGTACTCAAATTTCACTTTGCTTAGTGATGTTCGATAACATGGGCGTGTGAAAAAAAGTTATAATGGCAAAAAAAATTGCGCAGTGGAATTAAAATCAGTCATAAAGAATATTCCTTTACTATTTTACATATCAACTCAAGTATAGGACAGGCTTTAAGCTTGGAGCATTATGGCGAAGAATATTTTAAATGGTAATGACAAACATTAATTTCGGTTGGCATACATGGTGAATTCTTGATGCGAACGTTTAATAAATTACCTTTAATGTTATTCCAGCAAAGCTAATTGTATGATAATTCCTAAATATAAGCTTTGTAAGGCCGTCCCCAATAAAAACAAATGAGGCTGATATTCCTATACCTAAGCTACAATAAAGTGGCCCTAATTTAATGGTCCTCAAAGTTGCATTCGAAAAGAAATTACACTTTTAAACCTCGGGCAAAATTGCAGACAATGTCATCATGTTCCAAGTCAATTAATTATCTTTGGCCCATCATACATAAGCGTTCACTTTATTGGTCAAACAATTTCCTCAATTGTTTTTGTAAAGTAAAACCAACCAAAGCCAGCCTTGACACATAATTAATGTACACCCAACTTATCCATTACCATTAGAAGAGCCACTGATGAACACGACACTATAGCTCAATATAGGAGACTGCTGATACTAATGGACGTCCGTTACTTTGATCCACTAATTTCTTACTTTGAAAAGCTATGTAATTTCATAATGATCATTTTCATTCAGGCTGCAGGATGGCCGGGGCCAACTCTGATTCCATTGCCCTCTGCGCGACCCGTGTTTTGTACCCAACACTGCTCAGACTGTGCCTTAAAGGGTGTAGACCTGTAAATAGGACTAGAATTCCCTACGCGGGCCACATCACAATTTGTATGCCATCAAATTCTTTGCTATTACTATTAGAACATTTTGTTGGCCATGAACTTGAAGGTTTACAAAAAAAGATGGGATGGAAGCCGTGCGCATGCGTGCGAGCTTGTGTGAAATTCGCAAGAAATTGGGCCCAAAAATTGCTCTATTTTGCAATGGAGCGCTGGCATCTGTTTTCAAAATGACGATGGACCATGAGACTACTTTTCGGGGTGATCGTCTTTGGATGGAAGTTTCTAACCAAAGTCATTGGATAATTTAACAAAAATTGAATAGAACATGTATCAAACAAACTTTAATTTGATGGGTGTCTCAAACACCTTGGATAGTGGTGAGCATTTTCAATAATTTTCGGAAGCACACATAATTATGGAGGTCTGTGGAAGTCGATTTGCAGGTCATTAGTCCGTCGAAAAACAACATGAAACACACGCACTTTGCTTTCAAAGTGTCCAACCACCGCTCATATCTTAGGGCGATTTGCCATTAAGAGGAAAACTCATCGTCCGTAATGGTACCGAATCATCGTCAGAATGACCAATAATAAAGCCCAAATGTCAAAAAAGGTCATGAGTTTGGCCGTTTTATTACAAAGCCTCAGGGTTTGATGAGTCCACAACGAGCGGTGACATGCATAATTAGGGATGGACAGACGGTAGCGCATTTTGATACAGGATTTTAAAATTCAGCTCAAATTGAAGTTTTTATATATGGTGGAAGGGGAGGTTCGTTTTTACCATAAAAGGGGACCTTTTCACCATAAGAGTGGACCTTTAAATGTGTAAAAAAAAAAATAACAAAGCCAGTGGAATAAGCATGGAAATACACAATCGCGAGAAAACAGTCGTTTGACCCCCTCTCCCCCACCCCCAGACAACAGGCCTGTCATATATTTTGTTTAATGTATTTAATTTAATTAACGCTAATGGGTTTGACGAAACTTAAATATCAGTCATCGAGGCGTGTGTTTAAACACAAAAAAGATCAGACGTATAATATCTGCATAACAAATTCGTGATAGTAGGCCCTTCATTTCGCTACTCAAACATCACTTCAAGTAAACGTAATTGCCTTCTGCAAATTGGAGAATGTTTGTCTTTTTTAGACAATTTCCGTTGACTTGCTTGATCGAATATAAATTCAAGTTAAACAAGCGTAGGATGATACGAATCTTGTCCAAACTTCGCACCGCACTCAATTTCCCACTTTACTGTTGGTATCCATGACAACGGGCCTATTAAAAGATCGAATCTTTTGAAATCCAGCGAGAAATTCTTCCAAGAAAATTAAAGTGCCTGCGAGTTATCTCGAAAGCAAAATGTTGATGACCAGTGCAATAACAGACTCTACCCGCTGTTCAATTTAATGCCCTATTTCCATTCAATGGATGTCCATGAACTGAGGAGAAAAGCCTTCTCTTTAATACCAGACTACACACTAAAAACGTCGACCTGGATTCAAACACCTTGAATAATATGTCTCTCGTGCAATTAAATCTTAAATTGAGATGGCATTGATGGGCTACATAATTGATTTGATTTTGGACATGACACGTTTTCTCATAGGGACTGCCCAATATTAAGCAACTGCTTTAATATATACAAGCATTGCGCCGACAATCCTGAATTTTGTTGAAACAACACTTTTGCATTTTAATCGGACACCTCTTATTGTGCAGGTTCTTTCTGCATTTATTCCGTGCCTTACGCAGCTCTTTCTTTTCCCGACATCTCACGGTGCCAACAATTATACTCCTTCGTAATATAAACATTATTTTTAAATCGGCAGCTTTTTTTTTCTATTAAGATGGACTCTGATATTGAGAGACGCCGCCTCCGGAAAATCGATGTACAACCCTACACCTTTATATTCCACGAATAATACATGGGGCGCCTAGAATGAGTCAATGCTGCATACATTATGTATCCATTTTCCAGACTAGCTGGCTTGTGCAATGTTCACAGATGTGTAACCGATTGTAAACAAAGTGTGAACAAACTAAATGTGGTACATTGGGGGCAGTACTAGAAAAAAAAGTAAGTTTTTTCCAACGATGGTCGGCCGACCATCGTAGGAAATTGATACGAAAAATTCCACTTTCCTTGAAAAGGACAGCACATCAGGTGCCATGATTCTACAGGATGCCTAAGGCTGTCACTCACTAACGGTCTGATAAGGTGTTTCAGAATAATTTGGAACTTTTGGTTTTGATGCCTGCAAATGTTGAACGTGTATATTACGTTTAAGTGTGGACCGAGTTTACAAAACTTTGTACTCTGGTAATATCCAAGTAAATAATACTGTGCTAATAAAACTCGCATATATAAATACCTAGAATCACAAAAACGGAACACAATCACCAAAGCTAATGAAAAGTGCTACTGTAGCCTACGGGGAAAAGGAATGTTCTAGTTCTTGTTCGCGTTAAGCAAGTAGAACGCTCGGTTAGAGCTTGTAGACCTATACGAAATACGTACAGATGTATTACCAAAATAATATTTCGATTCAGCATAAGAAAACCTACCTTAAGAAACTACTCCTTACATTCTTGAAAAAAGATCGCTCATCGAAAGGTGCTTATAACATGTCCCTTGCATCATCAGGTTGTGGCGCAACACAATTAGTTGCTGGACTACGGACCGTCGATGTATATGTAACGTTGACGCGGGAGGAACATCGCCTCTTATATACACGGTAGGAGGCCTTCACTTAGACTTGATTCCAGTCCAAAGTTGGGCCCACGGGCTTGTACGCACAATCTCCAGTCAACGTTGTATACTTTCACGCAAGACGGCGAGAGCTTATTGTGCAATTGCACTTGTTTACTAGACGTTTCACACACTCTCACGAGATCCAAACAAAAAGAACAAAATTATAAAATCCAGGTGTCGCTTTGCCTCAGAGCCTAGTGCTGTCTAAAGCCGTTGATAGTGGCCGACTCTGACTCTCGAAATCTACCCGTCGAGAGCCGGACTAGATAAATCTGTGGGTATAAAACAACAAATGCTTCTCTACTCTCACAAAATCGCCTTCAGCTAACGTGTTAATTCAATTTCCTTCAAAAGGGCCTACTTCAAAATAAGCATTTATATTTAGTATATAACATTTGGTTTTTAAATTAAAAGAAACACTTGATACTGAGGACGCTG